ATAGTCACCTCTTTGTCACGAACTGATGATAAGAGTGTATGTGTTAGTCACTCAGTTGTGTCTGACTCTTTGTGATCCCATGGACTGTAGACAGCCAGGCTCCTCTGTCCATGGGATTTCCCAGGCAGGAGTACTGGAGTGGATTGCCATTTCCTGCTCCAGGGGATCTTCCTGATCCAGGGATCGAACCCAGGTCTCCTGCATTGTGGACAGGTTCTTTACCATCGGAGCCCCTAGGGAAGCCATGAATAGCTCACTCTTAATGTCTCTGTGTAGCAATATACAAGCAATACAAATTATACAAATGTGCAAACTGCAGGCTAAAACGGAAGTGAGCAAAAGCTTCTTCATTATTTTGTAACAGAACTTTATTTCTGTGAAAAGTTGCTTTTCTAATAAGTGGTATGAACTTGATCTCAGCCAATCATATTTTCTTCCCTTACCCTGGGGTTTCATCTAGCTTCTGAGAGAGGCTGGTGGACTGTGACAGTGCTGGATGAGGGAGAGAGGGGAGCATAGATGTCTGCTCTGAGCTACCTTCTACTGAAGCCATTGTCAGCTGAAACATCCATTCTAATCTTTGGGCGGTCTCGTGCTGATCAGTGTGGCTCCATTGTGTTACTCCTTGCAGATATGTGAGAGTCATTTTTTTCTCTCTGCTTTTATTTACCTCCTAAATAAACTACCTGAACCCAGTCATTCATTGTCTGAAGCTCTGCTTTTAGGAGGAGCTGAACTAAGATCTTTAAAGATGAAAATTTCAGAGCCTGGGCAGGGTCTTTGTTTATCCTTGGGATCAATATTAACAGGTTTATGGCTTAATACTGGCTCTCTTTTTGTACTCTAGGCTCAGGAAGGCACAGTGTAAAAGGGATAGAATTGGTAGTGGAATGAACACATGGAACTTTTTCTTTCATTATTTTTGCGATACAGTAAGGCTGTGTAACCAACTACTTGAAGACTCAGTTGTCAAGGTGACAAGTTCAGTTTATTTAGGCTGCATTCATCTGGACAGCTCTGTTTCAGACTGTGAGTTGCCTGGATTTAGCTCTAGAATGTGAATCTGCCTCGTACACATTTGTTCTGGAAACAGGCTGAAGGGGCTGTAGCTCCCAGAAACATGCTCTTCTCGTGGCACTGACGCACTGGAAAGCAAGAGCCAAACCAACGTGTGGGAGCTGATTTAAGATCCTTGATCGCCTCCTGTCTGCTAATATTTCACTGACCAAAGCAGGTCAAGCTTAGCATCCATAGGCCAGACAAGTACACTGTCCACCGGCGCAGAGAGAGTAGCATGAATAATAATCACCATCATGCGTATTAGTGGTATTATTTTACCACTAAATGGTTTTTAATATAATTTACTATGCCTTCTAAAATTCTGTCTGATAAAAGCATTTGGTATTATTTTACCACCAAAATAATAATGGTATTATTTTGCCTTGCAAAATTAAGAGGCAGTTAGGAAAACATTAGTCTTCCTTTTTCTGGGTTTAAATTTATATTTAGGAATTAATGCCTGTCCTTGGGACATGTGTGTGTATTTGTGTTCATACTTGTAGCCTTTACACTTGGTTTTTCCAGGACTTACTAAGTGGACATTCCAAAGAAATCAAACTATCTTTAATCCTCCTGGTGGGAAGACTTTGAAGATGGCTAGATGTGGAGAACAAAAACCAGTTGAACAGTCCTTCTAGAATTCTTGAGAAATCATTTTGGTTTTACTTAGTGTTTATGACTTAGGAAGGGGGAATGGAGTTCGGGGGGAAACCAACCTCTGTGTAGGAAGGCATCAGATTCTGAAATGGTGGGTGGAAAATCCTGGAATAGGGGTTTGGAGCAGGAGAGAAAATGGGCTGAAGATAGGAGGTCAGAATTAGAAATTGGGGTGCTTCTGATGAGGGGCCCCCTGGGAAGAAGTTAGTGCTGAGTTGCTCTAATCTGGCCGGTAAACAAAGTCACAATTATTAAACTGTTGCAAATGACTGCTTTCACAGGCTGTCCCTGTAGTTTTTTTTTTTTTCTCAGCATTTCAGTTAATGCTCAGTCATACAACTTAGTACGCTGTCAGAAAAAGAAAAAAAAAAGCAGTGAAAGACTGGGCTATAAAGCAAGATGAAATATACCTATTAGATTCTTAAATTGCTTTTAAGAAAGCCCATTGAACTTAATGTAAATCTTCACCTTTTAGTTTTTACAATTCATTTAGGAAATATAATAAGAGAAGGAGATCCTGTTTTTGTTGGAAACATAAGCTTCTATTTTCTTTTTGACTTAGTGAGAAACCATTTATTCTTCAGATTTATAAGCATATTTTACATATTCTGGTTAATACATCAAGCGTATAATGTGGGAGTTCCTTTAAAAATGCTAAGACCACACATGTTAAACTCAGTTACACATTATATTAGGTTATGAGACAAATGTCACTTTTAATACCACAACATATACATATTACACTTTTTTTTCTGACAGAGGAACATGCCTTTCAAAAATATTTTATTGGATGAAATGTTCTTACTCTCAGGAAAATTTTGGTTTTTAATATAATTTATTATGCCTTTTAAAATTCTGTTTGATAAAAGCATTTGGTAAAGCATTACAAATACCTGTAAAGAAAATATAGTTTAAAATTCTGAGGGAAATATATAAGTGTCCTCTTTTTACATTTTCACAAAAATCCACACAGGCACTAAGAAAGACTGACAAAAATATTTCAAGTCTGAACAATATGTTCCAGGTTGGAAACATTCAAACATGACTTTGTTTAACTCTTAAAGCTTCTCTTGATTGAACCTTGGGCTACGGTCCAATGGTTGGTGGGAGTTTTAACCAGAAAAAGATACTGTTAGAAGGGTGAAAAAGAAAGCTTCATACAAATTAGCACTACTTTGGGAATGGGGTCAGGAGAAGTTTTCATCTGTTATTTTTTATAGACCTCTCTGGGACTTAGCTTTATTTTTTCATTAATTTATTTTTAACTCATTGAAAACTTAGTTATTTTTTTCATAATAACTCTCTGGTACTTTTCAGCTTTATGTAATACTTTTTGATGTGCTGCAATTTTCCAAAATTCTGTTTAACACTGTGAATCATGCAACATGTGATACTTCCATGATAGAGAGAGACTGCAATTCTTTCAGGGGGATATCCTCAATACATCATGCGTATTGCTCTTGAAATACCCTCATTCTGCACAATCGGGGGTGAACATCTGTCTTACCAAATTCACTTTAAAGCAAGTGACAGACTTGGGTTCTCCTGATCTGGTTCAATGGAGTTCTCTTCCGGGTCCAGTGGCCTAATGAAGTTCAAACCTCATGGAAGAATCTCAAACAGCAGACTGAGTGGGAGAATGCCAGTATTGTCAGTGACTGGAGCCTTTGTGAGAGCGGGAAACTAGGGGCTTGGCAATTCATGAATAAGAATAAGTGAGCATCTGGGTGAGGTGAGATAAAACACGTAAGTCAAACAAGATTTCAGACGTATTTTCAAGGGTCTAAAATACCTTTTCTTTTTTTTTTTGGCCAATAAATTAGATCATGACAAATTCTTGTAATTATTGATTATCATATAGTTCCTACCCGAAAGAAGTTGGGGATTTTTTTTTTCCTAATGCCTTTACACTGTGCATGTTTGTTTAGTGCAGGAAGAGGCAAAAGCAAATGCCTATTGAATGCAGACCAGTCAGGTGGCTGTGATAAGCAGCAAGGGTGAACAGGACACCATGGGGACGTGTGTCCAAGTCTGTAACTGCCAGGCAGCTGCTACTCAGCTCCGGTCAGCTGCTGCTGTGAGGGAAGATGCATCTGACAGTCAGGTTTTATGTGAAATCTCATAGTTTCAATAATCACTCCCATTTTTAAAACATTTAATGTGCCAAACAAAATCTAGCTGAGGGTCAGACGCTGCCTGTGGGCAGCCAGCTTGTGTCCTCTGAGTTGAAGCTTGGAAACAATTTGAGAATTTGGAGACTATCATCCGTAAGACTGGAGAAGCGCTTTCGGTATCAAGGAATGAAAACTCAAAGATCCAGAAAAATCTGCTCTAATGAGTGTAATTTAAAACACAGCAAAACCTTCCATTGGCTCTCCCTATGATGAACATTTTTCTGTTATTACATTGCTTTTCCATGTTATGAGTGGTGGTTTCCTGTTATGACTATTTAAAAAAAAATTATGACTAGGAATTGGCCAAGTCCCTAATACAAGTTTGTTCTAAGAAAGTGGTATCAATAGCTCTCTCAGTATTTAGTTTGTGGCTGAGAAAGAAGAAGGTAAGGGGGAAGAGAGGAAGGCCGGCGCTCACAGCCTGAGTCGCAGTCACCTTCAGATCCATGAAGGGCTCTCCATGGTACATCAAGCAAAGAATATTCTGAAACTGCTCACACCAGCCAGTGCAGGGTTTGAGGCCTTTTTCTGGATCTAAGTAACCCAGCCTTTCCCCAAAATGAACTAACGGCCTCTTCCTGAATGAGCAGTACTTTGGAGCAGAAAAGCCCAGGATATGAATCTAATTAAGAGCTCCTTCATGAGAGACTTTCCAAGCCCTTCTTTGGCATCAAAATTTGAAGAACCGTATGGCAAAGACAAGGGACAAGCTATTAGAACCTGTCTTCCTTCCTTTCATTCTTTTGCAGGTTGCTTTTTCAAAGTAACCTATTGCCCTGTGTACCTTCTATTTTGAGACATGAAATGGGAGGCCCGAGCAGGCGTTCTCGTGTGATAGGAGGGCCAGGTGTGAACTGTGGCCCCAGAAAGAACAAAACATTTGACTTGTGCAAGCAGGGAAGACGTGCTTTGTGTAATCAATTCAGGAAGTTGGATTTCCTGCTTGAGCTCCTAGCTTTCAAATATCCAGTTTAGGGAGAAAAAGAAAAAGTACCACAAAGGATATTAGAAGCAGAAGAATCAATGACAAAACACCCACTTCAGACATAGGCAAAATCTAAGGGGGAAGGAAGAAGCGTGACTATCTCCAGCTTCAGACCAGCACACACGTTAATTTTCCTCCCTCAGAAGGTCCACCAGAGCTTGGAGCAGCCGGTCGTCCCTGTGCTTGTAAGGTTTCATGTTGTAGAAGCCATCGACATAGTCGTTATACAGACTGTCCTCAGAGTCTTTAAGCTGGGAGGGTTTGTTCAGCCTTTCCAGGGCTTCGTAGAAATTTTCGTAGGGGATGTTGAGCTTTGCACTTGGGGACTTCTTTGGTGATTGCTCTGAGGGTGAGTTTTTGCTGAAAGCGCTTTGCAGGAGTCTCAGCATGGCCTCAGAAGGGGCGCCCTCTGCCGACTCATCCCTTCTGCCCCCAGCTGCACCGCCGCCAGGGCTTTGGGATGCCTGAGCATACTCATTCAGGCCCTCTTGTGTAGGCTGCTCCTGAAACACAGAAAGCCACCGGCCAAGGGGAGAAAGCTCGTTATTTAGGAGCCAGCAAGGCAGCTACAGCACACATCCACTGCCTGTCCCTCGCGAGGCCGTCTGGGGAGCAGAGAGAGTGCAAAGCTTGCACTCACATTAACTGGGGTTTCGGTCTGCATTTTCCCATTCACTAATGCATCTTTGAAGTGAAGTGAAGTGGAAGTCGCTCAGTCGTGTCCGACTCTTTGCGACCCCATGGACTATCCAGTCTATGGAATTCTCCAGCCCAGAATACTGGAGTGGGTAGCCTTTCCCTTCTCCAGGAGATTTGGCACCTTTTTAATCTCCCTGAACTTCCCTCATCATATGGCAGTAAGAGTTCCTCTGTTTCTTGTAGGTTTTGAAGCCTGAATGGGATGATGTAGGTGAGTGTGCATACCTGTTGGTTTCCTTTGCTTGTCAGCCTGCTATAGTAGAATGCATGTTAGGGAGTTTAGTAACATTGAATTCATTCATTTTAATGTCTTAAGTTCTGGATGGAAAAGTTAATTGTAAAAGATAGTACGGTCTTATCCCATGGAAAATCAACAGTTTACCACTCCCTTTCCTCCCGTCCGTGTTTTGGGAAGGAGCTGCTGCTAAGACAGGCAGGAACTCCTCCAGAGGCACCAGCAGTGCTGTTGTGTGGCAGCTCTCTGGAGGCCTCTTGCTCTGTTCAGCCACTGAGTTGTCAGAAAGGGTCTGGGAAGAGACTCGGGCAGTGGTCCAGGAGAGGGGGGATGCTGGAGAGATGAGAGAAGCATCTCTTGGTCACCTGTTGTGGAAGCATTTCACTATTTTAACACTCAAAAGAAAAGTGAAAGTGAAGTCGCTCAGTTGTGTCCAACACTGTAGTCTATCAAGTTCTTCCGTCCATGGGATTTTCCAGGCAAGAATACTGGAGTGGGTTGCCATTTCCTTCTCCAGGAGGTCTTCCTGACCCAGGGATTGAACCCCCATCTCCTGCATTGTAGGCAGACTCTTTACCATCTGAGCCACCAGGGAAGTCCTTAACAACCTAAGGGTTCTGTTAATACCCCTTAGGCAATCTTGGAGGAAGAAGTCCCCCACGGTGCCCCCTGCCTCCAGGACTGTGATGAGGAGGCCTCCGGTATAGGGCCCCAGCGGAAGCTGTTTTGCAGAATGTAAACGGGGCCAAAATATGAGCTGAGGCCTTCTCACAGCTAGTTTATACATTTCTTGAATAAAGAATGTCTTTGTATCTTCCAAAACACCCGTCACAGAGCCAGTCCTGTTCAGGGAAGGCTGTCCTGGAAATTCTGATAACCTACCTGCTACGATCTGAGGCACAGTGCTAGAGGCCTGGGGGATACACAGATAAAGAAAATGTGTTTTCTGCCCCCCATCTGATAAAGGAGAAGCCAGCAGCTTCTGGCTGAGACCCGGGAATGTAACTGACTGACTTCAGCTTTCCTCAGCAATTTTCTGAGAAAGACTGTGATTCTGTAGCTCCCCTTGGAATTGCCAAGAAGCATCAGTTTAAGGAATTAGTAAAGAGAAGTGTGCATGATTTGGTCACTTGACCCTTGGTCTTCTTTCTGTGAAATGGACATACTGAGATCTATCCTTTTTAGGTTACCAGGGTTTTAAGTTAAATGAGACAGTGTGGAAAATCCTTCAAAACTAGGTGCAATACAAATATTAGGTATATGTGAGCATACAAAAAGATAGCTTTCTTTAAAATTTGATACTGGTATAAATGGAGAAAATTCATGTTCGAGAATTGAGTAATACTGAAGTCATTCATTTTAGTTTCTAAATTTTGGATAAAAGAATAAGTGAAACAATTTCCTATCGAAAATAAAGTTCACTTCTACTCCCTTTCATCCCAGCCCATGTTTTAACTCACTTATTGCCTAAAAGTTAGGGGTAGGTTCACCCACTCTTGATTGTGTGTGCGTGCTAAGTCGCTTCAGTCATGTCCAAGTCTTTGTGACCCTATGGACCGTAGCCCACCAGGCTTCTCTGTCCATGTGATTCTCCAGGCAAGAATCCTGGAGTGGGTTGCCATGCCCTCCTCCAGGGGATCTTCCTGATCGAGAGATTGAACCCACATCTCTTATGTCTCCCGCATTGGCAGGCAGGTTCTTTACCACTAGCGTCACCTGGGAAGCCCAGTTCTGAAAAGGACATGCCAGGAAGAGCAGAGCCACACAGACCTCCTTGGAATCCACCATCTTCTCTACCCCTCTTCGGTCGTTCTGAACGGTGTTGTAGGACGTGTACACCCGGGGCTGTTTCATATGCTCTGGCTGGGAAGAGGTCCCGTGCAGGATCAGCTTCCAGTTCACGATTCTTCCTTCATTTTGCATTCTTCCAGACTAACGAATAAGCATACATAATGTTAGTGTGTGTTCTGAGTGGTATAAAACAAACGGCTTCAAAACAGCTGAGAGATTTTACAGTGAAAACCTAATTTTCAAATTCTGTGCATTCCGTGGGTAGGGCTCTGTGTGCAAAGATGTAAGTCACTAGACTCACTCTTGCTCTGAAAACGCATAGCTGACAGGTTCAGAGGTTTACAAACTGGTTGTTTTTAATTTAAAAAGGAGAGCTCCCTGCATGAACCTTCTTTTCTATATTGGCTGTGTTCTTGGAAAGTTGACAGTCCCTTATATAATGGGAATTATATTTACCAATTATCAACTTGTAGAAACATTCCATTGGAATGAAAGTCTGGAGTATTTTAAATAGACTTCAACCCTGAGCAGTCCTTAAGAACTGTATATTTGTGGGAATGAGAATTTTTACAGGCTCGACAATTATGTTAAAAATAATGTGCTAAAATCTAAAATATCTAAAAAAAAACAAGCAAACTCTAAAATTGTAGTCAGATTTTGCAAACTTGATATAAAACAGTCCCATCTTGGTAAACAGATTTTCTTAGTTTCCTTGTGGTGACATTGAGTTAAAGAATGGAGGCCAAGTTCAGGAATAGAACTATCAACTAAAAACGTTTTCTTGTTCCCCTTATGAGAGCAGAAATGTTTACCACTTCCATGGCTAAATCACAATTTCAACAGTCTTTAGGTGAAAGCTATTCTCAGAGAAAAAAGTAACAATGACTGTAGAATTTGTATTAATTTAATTGACATCTTCAGAGATTTAAAATCATTTAGTTTAGAAAAGTTACCTAAACATTCAATCTGGTGCTACTGATACTTATAACACTGCTAGCTCTGGAGAACTTGAACCCAAAACACCATTCATTTATATGCTCGCCTATAGGAAATGCTGGAGAAATTATATAAAAATAAATGACTCAACTTGAATTTGAATTTTGCTCTGACACTATTTTTAGGGACTGTGTTACAATTATAGAAGAATATCAGAGTGTTAGCAAACAAAGAAAACAGAAATGCTTGTTTCAAAACTGAAATTTTAAAAAAAGTCATATTAAATAAAATATCTTGTCTAACAAGTAAACTACTTCTAAATAGCAACTATGGTAAATATCGTTAAAGAGTTCCTTCATATGACCCCAGAAAATGTTAGTCGCTCAGTCATGTCCAACTCTTTGCAGCCTCATGACCTGTAGCCTGCCAGGCTGCTCTGTCCATGGGATTTTTCAGGCAAGAATACTGGAGTGGGTTGCCACTTCCTACTCCAGGGGATGCTCCTGACCCAGGGATTGAACCCCCATGTCTTGCATCTCCTGCATTGCTAGGCAGATTCTTTACCACTAGCACCACCTGGGAAGCCTTGCCCCCTGCAGACTGTCAGTAAAGCTGGTGAAGCATCCACAGCCATGCTTGTGAATACGGCTGATTCTGGTGTCTGAGTAGCTCTTGTGGCTGGCTGTGTTCTGACATGGAAACTGTTGCCTCACAGACTGTCACGATGTCTATCAAAATATTTTTTCTTCCTTATTAGATGGCTGGTGCCTAATTTTTTTTAAAAAAATATTATCTTTATAGCCAAGTGGACAGAGCTTAAAATATATATAACTTCTCCTTGGCCTCTCTAAAGAGTGATCAAAGTTCCTTTGGGTCCTTACTGATGCACTAACTTTAAAAGTGCTTTGGAGTGTTTAAAAGTGAGCTTGTGGTTCAGTATCCTTTCATTCACACTTACCATGTCTGTAATTTGCAAAGTCCAAGTGCCTATGGGATTCTCTCCCCATGTGTGAACAGACATGAAGTCCCAGTTCTTAAAGCCATTGGGAGATGTGTCCCGCTCTCTTTCAGCCAACAGTACAGTGCTGGTTCCTGTTTTCATGCAAGAAACACAAGTTAATGAGTGTACTGACAGAATTAATAGTAGGACACACTCTAGTATTTGATAACTAAAAATGAAAGTGGGAGAGATAAGCCTTCTTAATTTTCCCTTTGAATATAATACCAGGATGGCAACATTCCCAAGGGAAATGTACTTAGTACAGTACTTAGTGCATTGCCTGGCATATATAATAAGTTCTCAATAAATATCCTAGAAAAATAAATAATGGATGGGTATATTGAGTAAGGTTTATTTGAATAAGGAGAACTCAGAGAACTATGTTTATAAACTACATTAAAGAAGAGAGTCAGAGACCTAACATACATATTAATGGAACTATCATTTTGAAGTTTAAGAGAAAAATTTTAAAATTTAATAGGTTCCTGGGTCTATAATGTAGCATAGACATAATAAAACCATGTATAGTTTACTAATCTCTTTTGATATAAAAATTCCTAGTAAGAGTTACTGTAAATTTTCACATCCAAGTTCTCTATAGATAAGTAAATAATATTTTCAAGTGAAAATGTCTATGAAAAAGCATTCTACCAATATTTGGGGCCAGTTCCCAGATATTAAGAAAGCATATTTCCAAAATTAACAGAGCCAGCTCCAAACCTCTAGTAAGTTCATATTCTAGAAGGATGTTATAGAGATAGTTCATCTTTTTCATACATCACTTAAGTAATTGAATTTAGTCAGTTGAATCCTGCTGAAGTATAAAAAAGGATTGGGATAGCTTCTCCTGGTTGGATTGTAGCTTATATTTCACAAACTGTTTACCACCCATGATCTTGTTTGATTTAGCAATCTTTCAGGAAAAGACAAATGTCAATATATCATATCATATGCCCTTAATTATGTAATTGTGGAAGATTCTTTAGTCTTCTCAACTCTTGTAGATCAGAATTCTCAGTTTTTTAATTAATTTCTTGGATGTGTCTGATGTATCTGTCAGTTTAGTTATTAGACTAACTTTCACTAATGAGAAAAATGAATGATACAGATCAGTGACTTGGGAAAATGCACACAGTTTGAAAATGCATAACTCAGAGGGTTTATAAATTGGTATTATTTGAGTAAATGTCATTCTTTTCTTATGTAAGGATCAGTTGAAATGAACAGGGTAGAGTTCTGATGCCAAAAAAAAGCATATTTTTTAAGACCTGAAAGTATCTATTGAAAGACTTAGGCCTATATATAAGCAAAAATCAATCATTGATTTGAAATCATTTAATTTATGCTTAAAAATTTAAACACATAGTTTAGAATAAATTGAATTTTTTTTTTTTTTAACTTACCAGCGGCTGAAGTGAGGGTGACATGAAGGTCTCCTCTGCGGGAATATTCAATTGTTGCTTCAAATTGCACATGTTCCAGTGACTTGATAGCATTTTCTTGACCTTCACAAGCTCTTGTTGGAATTTCTATGATGACTTCTCCATTAGCTTTCAGGGCTCTAAATACATTAAAGAATCATCAGTGAACAAAGTTGTATCTCTTCCTTACATTTTATGGAAATGTGTACATAGCACTCTAAAGTGGATACTCAGCTAGGCTTGTTATCTCTGTTATGAGTAGGACCCCATGAAGACAGATAAATCGCTGGAGGAGGAAATGACAACCCATTCCAGGAATATTGCCTGGAAAATTCCAAGGACAGAGGAGCCTGGCAAACTACAGTCTATAGGGTCTCAAAGAGTCAGGACTGAGAATGCAAGCACGCATACATACAGATAAATAGAACAGAGTAGAAATCCCAGAAATAAACCCACCAATTAGACCTGAAACTGTAAAACTTCTAGAAGAAAACAGGGAAAAAGTTTCATGACATTGGTCTAGGCAGTGATTTAATGGATCTGACAATAAAAACACAGGCAGCAAAAGATAAATAAAAATACACAAGCAGGACCACATCAAACTAAAAACCTCTGCACAGTAAAGGAAACAAACTGAAAAGGCAACTTAAGAACAGTAGACAATATGTGATAAATGATTGTTCTCTAAAATACATAAGAACTCCTATAACTTAATAGCAAAAATCCTGACAATCTGATTCAAAACAATGAGCTGAGGACCTGAATAGACATTTCTCCAAAGAAGACATACAAATGGTCAATAGATATGTTGGGGGTGGGGGACAAAGTTCACCATAGTTAATCATCAGGGAAATTCAAATCAAGACCCAAATCAAGATACCCATCAAGATCAGGACGACTATTACTTAAAAAAATAAATAAATAAGAAAAGACAAGTGTTGGTGAGGTTGTGGAGAAATTGGAGCTCTTGCATAGTTGGTGGGAATGCAAAATGGTGCAGCCAGTATGTAAAACAGTATAAAACTTCCTTAAAAAATAAAACTACCATATGATCCAGCCAATCTCACTTCTGGATATTTATTCAAAAGAATTGAAATCAGGGTCTCAAAGAGTTACTAGCATTCCCATGTTCATTGCAGTATTATTCTTAATAGCCAAGATGTGGGGACAACCTAGATATTGCTCAATAGATGAATGGATAAAGAAAATATGGTATTTATATACAATGGAACATTAGCTTTAAAAAAAGAAGGAAATTCTGCTATATGTGACAGTATGGATACAACGTGAGGACATTATGCTGAGCGAATGAACCAGTCACAGGTAGATAAATATTGCATAATTCTATTCATATGAGATGTCTGAAATAGTTGAATTCATAGAATCAGAGAGTGGAATGTTTGGTTACCTTGGGTTTGTTGGGGTGAGGGATTGAGAGTTACTGATCAGTGGGCATCAAGTTTCAGTTAAGCAAGATGAGTAAATTCTAAAGATCAGCTGTGCATTGTACCGATAGTTAACAGTTATGTATTGTACACTTAACAATTTAAGGGGGGTAGGTCTCATATTCAGTTCTGAACATGACAGAAGAAAAGTAAATGGTAAGGAACACAAACACAGATACTTGAATGCAATAAACTATTTGTTATGGCATCAAATTCAAGCAGGTTTGTCTTATATTCATCCAAAAATGGTCCATTACTGAAACATACCTTTTTCAGAAATGATTTTACCTCCCTAGTGCATGCCCTCCAAGCCTCCCACCCTTGGGTATTTTGTGTGAGTGTACCTTCAGTATAACTGTGGTTGTCTTGATACCAGATTCTTCTTCTGCACCTAGATGTAGTGGGACAAGTATGTTCTAAATGAAAGCCTTGGGGCATAAAGCAAGGTTCTTTCAGAAGTAGGTTTTGGGTAACACTGGTGGGCAATTACTGCATCTCATCAATTCTAAGATGCACTTAAAAAAACCCCACATTTTAACATCTTTGAATTGGGGATGAATTTTAATAAATTGATGATTTGTAATAGTTTAATTGGCAATGATTTTTCTTAGTGGTCTATAGGACAGTGCAGCACATTTTCAGTTCAGTCACTCAGTCATGTCTGACTCTTTGCGACCCCATGGACTGCAGCATGCCAGGCTTCCCTGTCCATCACCAACTCCTGGAGCTTACTCAAACTCATATCCACTGAGTCGGTACACATTAGCTTACTGCTATATTGTGGGAGGTGGGCTATGAAAGGAAAATACAAATGTGTTAACATGATTTACAAATCTTTGGTCTCTGTGACCTCTCATGGAGCCACAGGGAACTCTGGAAAATGCCATCCCCATCTACTTCAGAAGGGTAGGTGAAAAAAATTAGGCAGAGTGACAAGCATCATTCTCAAACATTGCCATGGCACAAAATTGTTTAAAATTCCTGGAGACACTTACCTGGGCTCAAAGTTATTGTCCTTGACAACACATTCCCTCTTCTCGGGCACACTGCTCCAGGTCCTGGGATCAGCCAGATCCACCAGAGCTTTGGCATTTAGCAGCCCGAATCCAAATCTACTGTTCACCATCAAGCCTGCTCCATTCTTTTTCCATCCAGGGTTATTGGCCAATGGGTCATACTCAGAGGTCCAGACAACCAAGTGCTGCATATCTCGCCAGGTGAGATTTGGACTGAAGGAGGAGTGACCGAGAGAATGTTCAGGGACAAAAAGGAGTTTCCTTGCAAATGCAAGTGTTAAAAACAAGCATCTCCATTCGGAGATGGTAAGGTGTCTTTTGCAACTGTACCTCTATAATTTTAGTGTGTATCACTACTGGTATATCTTTCATTCAGAATTAAAAAATACAGTCTTATAAATTATTAAATTTTGGTTTTCAGTACTGTAGATATGTAGGACCAAGTTCTAATGACTTACACTTGACTGGAGCAAAAATTAAAAATGATGACACTTCCTTTGTGTCCTCCAGTCTTATGCTGTCCATTAACAACCTTAGAATTTTCAACATGATGAACCCACAGTCAAGGTCTTGACTTCCTTCTTAGGAAGACTCAGATTTAGACATAGACTGATTACCCACTCCTAAATATTTTTTTGTCTCTCTTTTTTTTTTAACATGGCAAAAGTGTCAAGAAGCTCTTAGCGACTTGAGATCATTCTTGCAATGCACCATGCTGAACACAGCAGGAGTATGCAAGGAACTAGTTCATGTCTTTAAGAAGCTTCAGTCAGTTCACTCAGTCATGTCTGACTTTTGTGAGCCCGTGGACTGCAGCATGCCAGGCTTCTAATCCAGCAAAAGAACTAAGTCTTTTTAATAACTATATCTACTGAATCCTGTATTCATAGCATAATGTATTGTTGGACTTTGAAGGAGAAATAATTCTTTGGGGATGGAAGGGCTCTAGGAAGGATCTTCTAGGAGGAAATATTTTGAGATGAACTTTAAAGGATGGGTAGAACGTTAAGAGTCGGAGAAGGCAATGGCACCCCACTCCAGTACTCTTGCCTGGAAAATCCCAGGGACGGGGGAGCCTGGTAGGCTGCCGTCTATGGGGTCGCACAGAGTCGGACATGACTGAAGTGACTTAGCAGCAACAGAATGTTAAGAAGTGGAGAGAGAGAGATGAGGCAATGGAACAAAACCTCTGAGCAGGGGAAGTATAGGATATGCCCAGAGTACTTTACTGGAGCAGGGAATAGGCGAGTAGGATCACTGAGCCACGGGGTGAGGACCTTGAATGCCAGGAAAAGGAGCTTATACTTTATCCTTTGGGCAAGGGGGCTCCATTGAGGATTTTTGTGCAATGAAATGGTATAATCAGAAGTCTTGGTAAAATTAATAGCAACATAAGGGTAAATCAGAGGTACATGGGAGTGTTGGGTCTGTTAATAATGAAGACGAAGCCTTCTCTGATCACTTTATTTAAGATTTCAACTCCCCCCAAATACCCCTGGGCTCTCTTATCTTGCTGTAATTTTGTTTTTCTTTTATAGTGCTTATCATCTTCTAACATACTGAGCAACTCATTTGTTTTGTGTGTTATTAGCATCTGTCTCCCCTCCTAGAATCAGCAATGAAAAGGGCTGAGATTTTTATCCTTCTTGTTCTCTGACAGGCACCAACCAGTCAGAAGAATGCCAGGCACAGGGTATGTGCTAGGTAAATATTAGCTGGTTGGATGGTTGAACGTGTCTAAGTGTTAACTAGCCTTAAATACAATATTAAAACTTATTGCCACTAGTCATTAGAAATCTTTCATGATCTCAGGCCTTCCCTTAGCTTTGAGACCTGCGTTGTTTCTATCAGCCCAGTCAAGCCTTGTTTAGATAAATAAATGCCTAAGCGTTGAGTCCTCCAGGGTTCTGTCTTACCACTAGGTTGTGAAACAGCCAACAGGGGAATCTGGCTCAATTTGCTGTTTTCTCCCCAGAGCTGGTCATGGACTGGTTTAACAATCTCCCGGGGACAACAGGGGGCAGTGCACATTCCAGGGAGGAGTCTGCTCCTGGTTAAAAGCCCAGTCCTCACAACAAGCTTTACAAAGTCTGCATCTGGTGGCCTCGGGGGCACGCCGCCCTCTGCATTCCGGCCTGGGTGCCAAGACCACGCATCACCCTCTCTGAAGGGAGCTGTACTCAGGCCTCTAGTCCTCCTCTCCCAGCAAGCTCTTAGCATATTTACATTCCTGGGCCTTCTTATCTGAGGTCTTGGGCACCTCGGCCAAGGCCTCCTGATGGGCGACAGAGGGGGAAGCCTTGAAAACCCTTCTCCCCACTCTGACTCAGTGCCCAGGACTTCTCCACTCCCAGCCTTCCCCCTCACCCCCACCCTATCCCAGAGTCCATAAAACCAGGGCTTGCGTTGGCTCCCTCAACAGTGAGACACCAAGCCCCCATGTCCAAACTTTTAACCTGAACTTCAGCTGGTGCCCTTTCCATGGGAGAGGGTGGGGGGCGATGGAACAGGGAAAGTTGGTGTTTTCTCTGGTTTTAGACTCTGGCTTATACCTTCACAGTAGGTGACTGAAGGCTTAACTCTTTCATTTTTGGTGTGTTACTTTAAAGCTGCTCTGACACCTAGCAGCTTAATATTGCCTCTCTCTGCTCAGCAGAGATCCTGACAAATGTAATGCTTCAACCCAGGGAGTGACTGATAGAGCCCTTGGAAAGACTCTAGTTCAGTGATTCTCCAAGGTTCAAGGCTGCTTGCATCATAATCACCTGGTACACTTGTAAATAGTGAAAATTCTTGAGTCCCACCCTGAACCTGCTGAGCCAAAATACCTGAGGGTAGGGAGTGATTTTATATTGGAAAAAGCTGTCTAGCCAGTTCTGTGTTACAGTTACAATAATAGGAGTTGAAAGAAAGAATACAAGTATATATCTAATTAAAGTAATTAGAAGTCATTGGGGTCAGAATCATGGCATCAGAATGGGGAGTAGTAAAAAGCACATTAAATTATATTCTATTACTAAGGACCTGTGTGACCTTAAGCAAGCCACTTCATCTCCCTGGGCCTGAGTGGACTTACTTCTAAGATAAGAGGTCAAGTATGACAGTCTGACCTCCAATCTGCCCAATACCATATGTATTACACTTCATTGTAGATCTCATATCCACAGTGGCCATCCCAAGTTGAGGAATAATTAACTAGGTGAGCAGAAATGGCTGTTTTCTCCATGTGGAAACTAATGCTGACCTATGTAGCATGTTATTGAAATTCTTGCTTCCTTCTAGTTCTTTAAAAGGAGCTTTAGGTAAAAGCCTCTTACCAACCTCTCATCGAGGTTGTCTATGGGTCACCTGCCAGTTTACCCCTTGGACTCTCAGTGGGTGTGGGATGTGTGTGTGTCTGTGTGTGTGTGTGTGTGTGTTGGGATTAGGATAGGTACTAAGGAGGTATAAGTCATGTTCGTAGCATGATAATCATGCTAATCAAACATGAAGCAGATTTCTATAGTTAGGGCATTGGTTTTTATTCAGTTGCAGGTTTTGTTTTATTTTTTATTATTTTCTTTTACCTATTCTTTGCAAAATATCCAAAGAGGCTTCATTGTCAGGCAGTTAGGAAAATTAAGGCTATTTCTCTAACAGAGTTATTTTTCATTTGAGTGATTGTATTTCATAATGTGAAAAGGACCTTCTAACAGTAGTGCATCTCATTCCTGACAGCCTTCCTCTGTTAATTAGCATCTCATTCGTCAATGGCATCCACAATAATTAAATTTTTTAAAATCTGCATTGGGTTGCTAATCAAGGATATGTTTACAGAAAATAAGGGCTTTGCAATTAAACATTGAAATTAAGCATTGCTTCTAATTAGGAGAGTGTAGGTAAAGTAATCTGGAGACAAAATTCTAAGATGAAAAAGTCTGAGTCTACCTGGTTTAGCCTGTAATCACAACTAGGTAAGCCTGGACGTTAAAGATTTTAGTCATTTTTTGGTTACATTTCCCAACCTCTCTAAGTCTCAGTTTCATCCTTAATAAAATGCAACTAATAATTTATATGTCACAAGGATGTTGTAAGAATTAGAGTTAGCATTGTATATAAAGAGATTAGCACAGGTTATGGCCCACAGTAGTAGCCTGATAAATGCTGAATGCTGTTATTCATGATAAATTTAGCCCAGAGTTGTTTTTCATCCTCCATGGTTGTTACTTAAGGAGGAACACATGGTTAAATGATTCTCCCAATCATGTTTGTCTACAGACTCTTCTAGAAATTCTGGCATTCAGATTTTCTGAAATAATCATCTTGGTATAGACAACTGAATAGAGCAAAGCAAACTGTCCATCTGAGAACAGACATCTCAATAATTTGTATGTACTTTGGCAGGAAGTTTATAAATGTTAAGATAGATTATGTCCATTTTACTGATGACTGAATCAAAATGAAAGGAATTAAATTCTTATTATGTGCACCAGGGAGACTCTTAATGTCTCTTAAATCATGAGCAGCATAAGAATCTGATGGAACTGCAAACCACTCTCCCCAAAATGCCAGACATACACTCTCAAACATCCCTGCATCTAGTTGCAAAGAAGTTCGTGGATCCCGTATGTTTTGTAACAATCCGTGGAGCCCCTGCTTTATAAAGTAATCCATTAGGAATTGACTGAGATTAATGAGGCTAGATCATCCTTAGATAATTTCCTCTTTATACTGAAAGAAGTTTGAAATTTTAGAAATCAGAGATGAAAATTTTAAAATTTCAGTTCTTAGTCAAAATAACATTACATCTGTTCAGCTAGATGAATGTTTCTACTATTCTGGTCACTAGACAAGATGGTTAGGTCTGGCTGCTTATATTTGCATGCATCTGATAGGTGTTGGATAGGGAAGACAAGATTTTTAAGGATAGTTTTCTTCTAAAAGCTCCCTGGAGCTAAAGCTTATATCCTAAAATCATAAATAACATGCTCTTTTTTCACCACCTGTGTAACTATTTGCCTTCATAGGACCTTACTTCTTCCACTCTGTACCTCTTCCCATCAATCTCAGCAATTCATGTTAGATGATCTATGTAAGCTGACACCTTCAATTTCAAATTGGAGGATCCTTTTAAAAGGAAAAAGCTAGAAAAACAAATGATCTGATCTGACCCCTATATTTTATAGATGATAATTTGAGCACTCAGTTGGAGATTAATTTGCCTAAGGTCACATAGCTAGTGGTATGCCTGGCACTTGAAGCCAGGTGTTCCTTGCCCTTTTCACTGCTTAGATTATCTTTCCTTGAATTTGGTTTGGGACTGCCAATGCTAGTCTTACTTTGGGCCTGTAGACTTCGCTCTGTCCATCTGTTAAAACTGCTTTCTGTCCACCTGTTAAAACTGAACTCAGATTCTGAGCACGGCTTTTCTGCTGGACCCAAGAGCTTCAGATTTGCTTGTTTCTGATTGAGCATCTGGACTTGCTCTTCCCTAATCAGATATCTTTCCAGCTCCTCCAAGTAGGTAGGCTTTGGTTATGAGCCTCACTCGGCCTGTCTTGCTTAGCTGCCGTGGCCATCATAACTGAGATACCAGAGACTAAACCACAACTCCACAGGTGGCCACAGGGATCCCGGGATGATGCTGGGCTCTCTAGCCACTGCACATCTTTTCCAGCTATGGCCCAGGCCAAGGCACTTTGTTCTGCTATTGTGAAACTTATCTACTGAACATGACATGAGGGGACTGCTTTGTCTTCTCTGTAGAGGATATGGATGATGTTCTAGGATAACCTGCTTAATAGGAAGGATAATAGTAATCTATAAGTTTAAACACTTACTCTATCACTCAACCATAGCACCTGACTTAACATTTAAAGATTTCTCACCACACAACATCAGAAAGCAGAAATAAGGATGAATAAAAAGGTGTGGACATACTGTGTGAGACAGATTTTTTTCCCCTCTGTATTAAGTATTAGACTATTTAATAAGTATTTTGAAGGGGAAATGTTGCTAGATCCCTTTTTGGTAGCATACACTAAATTCCAAGGGGATTTAGAAAATAAATATCATAAAGAAACATTAATAAAAGATACATAAATATATATTTATATAATTCGGGGTTGCAAGGATTTTCCTGAGCATAAGAAAAGGAAAAAAAAAAAGAACTTAGAGACTGATAAAGGTAACTGTATACATAGTAACTTCATTAAATTAAAATTTACATGTAAATAAAATTAAGAGGTAAATGTCAACTAATCAAGCATTAGTAGCTTTTCTAACTAAGACCATAAAACAAAATCAAGGTCATAAACAGCAATCATAGATGATAAATGGCAAAAGAATATAAAATATTGATGTTCATTAGTAATGAAATAAAAGCATATAAAGATGAGATGCCATTTTCACCTATCAAAGTAGCAAACATTTTAAAAGATAATAAATACAGGTTTGATAAGGGTTTAGGAAACTGGCACTTTCACACATATATTGCTGATGGGAATATAAAATGGTACAGTCTTTCTAGACTAACTTGACAATATGTATCAAGATCATTAAAGCATGCATTTCCTTTGATGCCAAAATTTCAGTTATAAATGTTTATCTTAAGGAAATTATCAGAAACAGTAACTGATATCAATGGACAAGGGTGTTTAAGCATGAATGGCTTTAGTAAGGTTTGCATTTATATAATGGTATACTACAAAAAAGATAGAAGTCCTGTTTTTAATTCTTATGTCCCCTGATGTGTTATGTCAGCTCTAGGACTGGGCTTATACAACTAAAAAGAAAAAGGATATTTTTAAAAACACGTTATTCCTAATACTACCCACAGGAAACTATCTGGACAGAGTCTGCCTCAGTGTGAATAACCAGAAGTGAGAAGGCCTTAGAGCTGAGTGGGAGGGAGGCATGGGTTTTTAAAGGTCAGGGAAGATTGATTTGGATGTGAGAAAGTACTCTTAATATAGACAGACTAAAAAATTTACAGAATAGTGTGTGAATTAAGATCCCAATTTTGCAAGACAAGTGTGTGCATGAAACCCACCTCGAGATGTTAACTGGAAGAGAACTTACTATTTTTGGTAGTTTTCTACTATAGCCATATATTCAGAAAAGAATGTATGCTATTTAAAAAGAAGGAGAAGCAGCTTTTTACAGATGATTAGATGCTTTCTGGGCCTTACTTTGCTTCCAGGGCCAGAGCGAAGATGCCGGCGGCCAGGGGTGCAGAGGCCGAGGTGCCCGTGTGGGTCTCCGTGCAGTCGTTGTGCAGGTCAGCACTCGTCTGGGGGGCATCAGGAGAGAAAGAAACATGGGAGAACATGTGAGGGGTGTGATCCTGTCCCTGGGGGTTAACCCTACAGAGGGCTGCATCCGCTCTGATCAGGAAGCCCAGCTGATTCGATTCCCTACTTCCTCCTCTGAACCACAGGCGGATGTTTGCCATCTGCTGATATTTTAGCTCCCTCTCCTCTATATGCAACTTGTCTATAATTCTGGCATCAGAATGCCTTTTCTGGGGATGAAGTCCTCCCACTGTGAATTTTTTTTTTTTTCTCTACTGAGATTCCCAAATGAAATGCTGTCTGTAAAAAAGGGACTGTTTCAGAATCACTGTGAATCATGCTGGCCCATTAATCATCAGGTCCATTGTGTTTGGCCTGACATATTTAGAAATTTTGCCTCACGCCCAATTCCCCATTGCCTTCAGATTGACATTTGACTGCCTCTTCAGCAAAAGGAAGATGTGCTGATTCTGGCCACTTGGACTACTTGCGTAAAACATGTTGAGTGTGTTTCACTTGCATGCACTGTTGATGTCTTCTGATGGCCAGGAGTTAGTGTCATATTGGTACTTTGAAAATGGTGAGTTTTTCAAATGGAAGTGTGCTAGACACAGATCTGGGCTCAAATTCTAAAACTGCCACTCAGTAGATGCGTCCCATGGGCAAGTCACTTGGTTTTCTGTCTATCAAGTGAGGTTGACATTTCTTGACTCAGATTTCTGAAACTGAAATGAGATCCTGTCTGTGAAGGCAAATTTTCACACAGTGGTATTAACAGTAAGGAATTACCCAGGCTAATTTTAGCTTACTGAAGAGGTTGCTGAAACAAGGGAAACAACCAAAAAGACCTCCAATTAGTCTTCTTTAAGGACCACAGTGTTGTTGTTTGAACCAGAAGCTGGGTCAAAGGATTGCTAGCAAGACACCCACCCAGGCTCTTGCACTGTGATTTTTAGCTAGAGATTTCAATGTGTGGGAGGGAAGTGTAAAAAAATAATTTGTTCCATTGTCACCTCCTTTGGCTTCCCGCTTGGAGTTGCTGAATATCTCAAGTGATAGTGGCTCTGTTCCTCCGAGGGCTGCGGAAGCAAGTTTGCCCTTTTTACCTGTTGACGCAAGTAAGCCCCCAGAGATGACTGTGCTGAGGAAGAGGTTTGCGTAAGATAAAGGCTGTGTTACTGCAACTGTCTCAAATAGAAGCCACCAGCTGTCTCTTCTATGGCTGGTGTACCTAAAGAGGGATCTTTACAAGGATGCAAATTCTTCCTCCTGCTCCAGAGCAGAGTGACTCAGATGAGGGTCTGTCTATGAAATGGTGACTCTGAAATGGACAACAGGCCATTTTTTTTTTTTTCTTTTTTTTGAGAAGCTACTCTGGACATCCACGGGATCATTAAGAGCCAGAGGCTGTGCATGCAAGCAGGACACATGTCTCATAGGCTCCTTTCAAAGGCTCTAAGTTATCTCTGCTGTCAAGAGCCCCTGGGTAGAATGTCACCGTCTCTGAGTAATTGAAAATACCAGAATGAGAGGCAGGCCAGGGCTTCCAATTGAGACCCCAGTTTTACTTTCTTAACTAGAGTAGGTTGCAGAGACAGAGTTCTAGAAGAGTGATTCTGCATGAAGATCTTAGTTCTGACAATTGTGTTGAGATGCCATTAATATGAATTTTACACACATTCCAAAGGCTAATTTTTAGGGGGTTGACCCACAATCTAATTGGATCTTGACCTATTATTTTGAGATTAAGATCTGCATGCTTTAGCTAGTTGGTTCTTCTCTGTGTCAGGAGTTAAGTTTGAGGCTTTATATTTTTAAATTAAAAGTGCCTCTCTTTGTTTTCAAAGCCCCCGAATGGCCCTTCATCATCATGCCCTTGAAGGGAAATCCAATAATTGCCCTTGGCAGTCTGACTCATGGAAGAGAACGCACAGCCAAGCGTGGGCTGGAGATGCTCTCTGAGCATATAACCTTCCTAAGCTACTTATTCGGATGCTGAGAAGTTCACCTCAGGGGAAAGTTAGGCTGTTATTTTCCTGTAGGTTGTCCATTCTTAGGAGACATAGCTGGTGCATGCTCTGTACTTTTATCATCTGCTAAAGGGCAAGTCAGACATTCTCCCTGCTATTAGACGGTCAACAAGTACCAGGGTGATAAAGCCCCCACAGCTCTGAAATCTCCTTTAAGGCCGTTTTCAGAGAGGCATCGCACAAGCCGAAGAGACATTTGGAGTCTCGGTCGTTGAATGACAAGTTGGTGGCTTCTCAGGGCTGAGTTTAGACATGACCGAGAGGCAACAGCATCTTGGCGGATGTATCGCTATCCCTGAGACAGAAGCCTTCCCAATACGTACCCACCCTTCAGGTCGGTAACGCGCAAGTCTCCCCAACTGAGACAGGAAGCTTAAGCAAATCCATCTGACCCAAGGATCCTTTGGAAGGCGAACCGCGCTCTCCTACCTAAGCAGAGAGAGGCAGACAGAAGCAGCTTACGATTCGCTGGTCGGTGTAATCCCCACTGCTGTAAGAGGTGGCCAGCGTGGAGGAGCACTTCTCTGCGTACCAGGGGGATAGGCCTTGCTGCGAGGCACTGCTGATGGAGATGGTGTAGATGCTGTCCGTGTATCCGTCGCAGTCACAGTTGTCGCCCTGACGCCCCCCGTTCCCGGAGGCCCAGACGAAGATAGAACCCTTTCCTTGTCTCCCCTAAAGGAAAAGCCAAAATTTACCACGTCTGTTACCATCTGCTGAGGTCGCTGTCATCTCCCAATAAAACCCCCGACAAGAATATAAATGCATACATGAAGTTCTCAGAGACAGGAATTTGATCAGTTTCATCTCCGGGTCCTCCAGTAGGAGGACTCTCCCGAGACTGTGTGTTACAAGCCCCTGGTGGGCTCTGGCCTGCTGGTCCTCCTCCATCCTTCTCTCTGGGATGGCACAGGGTGAGGACTTTTCTTTTCTTTTTTTTTTTCCTTTATTATGTGGATTCTGGCCTTTAGCACTCACTCTTTTTTTTTGGCCACTCCCTTGGCTTATGTCACTCCATTTGAGTCTTTGAACTTCCTTTCTTCCTTTCTGCTTGAATCTTCTGGCTGACTGATAGCATGACAAAATCAGGCATTATTCAGATCTGCTTTGCAGCTGCGTTAAAAGGGACTCGTCAATTGAATGGAACTCGTCAAGGCTACTCTTTCTATGGTTTTTCAATTTGTGCTCTCCAAAGTTTCTACTTTTGTTTCATCCTGTGCAGAACTGGGCCTTAGAATCTTGGCAAGGATGCCGTCAGCCCCAGTGTCAGAGCAACACAATCAAGGCACAAGTGTCCACCCTGCATGTGCAGAGATGGTTCACCCACCATTGCTGAACTGAGGGGTGCCTTTTCAGAGTATCTGAAAGAAGTCCAGGGAGTAGTGTACCTAGTGTAGACATTTAGAAGCAGCAGGAAGATGAGGAAGGATCTATCTAGACTATTTTTTTTTAAGTAAATATCCTAAGAGGAATGAATATCTGTTGAATGTCAGGCCCAAATGGCGAAAACATTAACTTCCATCCCTCTGAAGAATGATTTGGCTCTCTAAATGCAGGTCAAATCATTAACAGCAACAAGAAATTCACAACCATTTCTTTGCACATAAGCCAAGTGTTCTTCCCTTCTCTTCTTATTCCAGTGGTCAGGTTTCATTTCAGCTGGGTCTGCGTTAAGCATCTCACCTGTTTGACACCATATTCAAAAGCCTTCTGGGCCAGTCGGCCAGGCCCCTCCACAGTTTTCCCATCATCGTTGGGGCCCCAGCTCGCACTGTAAATATCCACATGCCCAGGATTAAATCCAATTGAGCTGGCTTCAATAGCATCAGTCACAATGCCATCTAGCATTCTTATGCCTGAACAGCAAAACAGACAAATACAAAATATGTTGATGTCAGTGTGTGCATGCAGGATGGCATAAGGCTCTTAATATTTTATTCGTCAAAGGACTCTCCAAAGAGTCAAAGAGAGGGTAACCGTTGTATGTCCCAAATGCCTGTGACCCAGCTGCTAACAGCGCCACGGGAAGATACCAGTCACTGCCTCCAGAAGCCTTCTTTATCTGCCCTTGAGGTAACTATTTGTGCTATGCAGTGGGCACGGTTGTTGTCGATTATAAGAATGTCATGGGCGTGCAGACACTGCTATATTTAAAATGGGTAACCAACAAGGACCTACTGTGTAACACAGGGAGCCCTGCCCAGTGTTATGTGGCAGTCTGGATGGGAGGGGGTTTGGGGGGAACGGATACCTGTTTATGTATGGCTGAGTCCCTTCACTGGTCATCTGAAATGGCCACAACATTGTTTGTTAATTGGCTATACCCCAATACAAAATGAAAACTTTTATAAAAAGCTAAAATATAATTAGTAAGAATAAAGGCTTATTTTCCCACCGGAAAAAAATGTCTCCCCTCCCCCTGCTGACCTAATAACCTGAAAATGATGGGGTAGTTTTCAGAAAGAGGCGTCAAACAACCCTGGGTCAACATGCCTGCTCGTGACTGTGCCATGAACGGCTGTGGCCCAGCCAGCGCTTTACAAGGGGCTCCGTATGGGAAACCGTGCAGCTTGAGAAGACCTACCTACAGAAGGAGACGAACAAATAGGGAAAGAACTCCTGTTTCTAAGCACTGATTAAAAATAACCCAGAGTCCCTTCTTTTACGTGTTTGCTAAGAAACATTTGCAAAGGAACATGCTTCCTTTTCTCCTAAATAACTTCAAGGATGAAATCACTGCCATGGATTTCACTCCTGAGGGGGAATCATTTTTCATCGGGAGAAGGCAGATGCAGTGGCTCATATGCTTCCCAACAGGCTGTCACCCATCACCAGACTCATGGATGCAAGAGCCAGGAAGGCAAAAGCAGTTTAGACAGATATCGGCAGCTACCTGGTTATTGCTGGCTTCAGGCTAATGATGCGATGGAGTGCACAGCCTTAGGTTTTCACACTACTGTTTACCATGGAGCATGGGTAAAGGAACGTGGAGCTGACCTGACTAGTAGAAGTCATTTTTTTTTTTTTTTAACAAAATTGTTTAAAATGCATTTGGGGAAAAAAAAAATCCCACTTTACTATTTGCTAGCTCTGTGATCTTGAGCAAGTCACTTCTCTGTGCCTCAGTTTCTTCAACTGTAAAATGGGTTTGATCACAGCTCATGAGCATTGAGGATATACTGTATGCAGCTGCCATTACACAGGCCTTAAATGTGTGAACTTATCTATCCATATGACAACCATTTGAGGTGGATGCTGTAATCTTTCCCAGGGAGAGAGACTGAGGTCAGAGAGGGAAGGGACTTGCCCAAGGCCACACGGCTTGCAACTGGGAAGCTGGGACTTGAAGCCCAGAAATCTGGCATTCAGATCCATCCTGTTAACTTCCAGGATGTGGATCCTGTCTTGGGAGTTAAATGATGGACACGCAGTAGCTGTGTTTTAGTTTCCTTGAGGATCTTGCTTCTGATTCCTCCTCTGTAAAATGAAAGGGTGAGATGATTTTCTCACAGACTATAGCTACTTTGTTCATCTTTCCTTAGAACGTGCTTTCTTTTTCTAGGTGATTATGTAATTTGTGCTCCTGCCTTCATTTTCTGTAGATTAACGCATCTCTTTGACAACACTGGCGTCAAAGGAATGAGGAATGACCCCTAAAACCTAGGAGTATGTGCTGTGTTAGTGAGAGATGCATTCTGTATGCCAGGATGTGTATTTATCTGATTTCTGTAAAGGATTACAAAACCACATTCCAGGTATGCTCATGTAGAGCTTGAAGGAGTCTCACTGACATGGCCATGTTCTACAACGAATCTTTTTTGTTGTGGTTTTAGGAAATAAATTAAATGCAAAACTAATAGTGTAACCATGAGCTCTCGAGGAAGGGCTAGTGTGAAGAGGAGAGGCAAGTGCTTTATTCTCTCTGATCCCCTGCAGATCCACAGGACCGTGGATGGCAGCAGTGGGTTCTCTCGTCTTCCCATTGGTGTCAGCCGACCGACACAGCGGCAGGAGGTTTTGGGGTGAGGGGAGAATGAAGTGCTCATTTCAGGACCCTCCCTGCCTCGAAGCAGCTCTGCTATTGTACTTCAGGCCCCAGCTCTTGTCCTGTGGTTGTCTTGTGTGGCCACAGCTTTTTCTTCCCAGTTTCCATGACTACTTCCTCCCCTTGCTCCACTAGGTCTGAAGGTGGTAACATCTGCTTACAACAGTCACTTGTTGGTTCCCTTGAACTCTTGTAAATAGTTCTTTTATCAAATTGTGCTGATGGAACTTGCCATATGCTTACCCATAAAAACATTGAAACAACCAGAGTTTCTAAATTCTTGCTACTACAGATAACCTTTGTCTTTTTTCTGTAATTCATATGCATTCTTTTTTATTTATTTTTTGACTGTTCTTCACTGTGAACTGAAGGACTATAGAACTGAGAGGCAGGGAAAATCTTTGCCTAAATTTACCTTTTCCTTCTGTTCTCTTAGCGAGCACTCAATAACAATCCCTTCTAAATCAGAACACAGAGAAAATTAGATTTGCTTTGAAACCTATTCAACATTTCCATCCCTGCTCCCTGCCCCCCCAACAGAGATGTATGGGCTTTATTCAGGTATCATTATCTGAGAACCCAGATCCATTGATTTGCACATTTCAAATCACACTCAAGTTCTGTAGCAAATTTTGCATGGGGTTCACTTCTTCCTCTGGTTGTTGAAAAGTTTCCCTCAGCCCACCCCATTTACACCAGTTAGCACAAGACTCAAAGCGCGAATCTATGGGAACAACCCTCTGCTTTACCTCCAACTTTGGAATTGTATGCAACTCCGACCCCACACTTGTGATTATTTGCTTGCATTGCAATTTCTCCTGCACATCTGGTCCCATGTCTGAGGATGAGAAAATAGAATTTTTAAAATGTAAATGAGGGCAAACATTGGTTTTGCATACAAATCAACGGTCCATGGATATACTAACTAACTTTCTGTCAGCCTTGTTGCCAGTTTTTATCCCATCAGTGTTAGATGATGTGTAGATAAGTGAAGGGAATAAGTACCGGAGCCCAAGTATATGAGTTTAAATTCTAGCTTCTGCCCTAACTAGTGATATGACCTTGGATAAGTGACTGGTCTTCCAAAAGTTGTGGCATCCCATGAAACACTAAGTATGCAGAACACTTAGAACAGTGGCTGGGATGCAGAAAGAACCAGGAAGTGTTAGCTATTAATACTTACTATGAGCATCTCTGACACTTTCAGAAACCACTTGAAAGAAATGGTTTTGATCCCATGCTTTTTGGTGTTGAAGTGACCCCTTCCCTTCCCCCTCACTAGTGGCTTCCTTGGATTAGGTTAATCTGGACCAGTCTTAGGGGGATATGTAGAACAGAGTCCCCTCTCAAGCCCTCCTCTCCTCCTCTAACCATACACCAGACTAAAACATCTGAAGGTTTCCTGGTCCCAAGAGGATTTCGAAATTTTTAACAAGGCACTCCAGGCTATTTGGGATGCCAGGGTGCTCCTGCAACTCTAATTGGGACCAGAAGCCTGAACAAGACTAGTCTTGCAACCAGACGATGAGGGTAATTTACGACTTCAGAGCATTTGGGGGGAAAAGAAAATCCATCTCTTAAACAGACCAAAGTCTACTGTTAAAGTGTCATTTCTGAAATTCTAGAGAGAGAGTGATTATCTTTTCCTGTCACCTTCCTGACCTCAGGAAGGTCAATAAGTTGAGGGAACTTTAATGTGGACTTGGTTGCTTCATGACTTTATTCCATTGTGAAAACTCCCAGGAGCAGCATGAAGGCTGTGGACGCCTTTGGAGGAGCCGCTGACCACATATGCTGACACAGAGGGAAAAAGAGCAAGGGTTGGGTCTGAGCAAACGTCAGCCAGCTCCTTCTGATTACTGCTCTACTGGACATCTATTAATTTAGGCCAGATGAAATATAAAAATTCTTAATTGACTTGTCTTTTAAAATAAACCTATTTCACTTTTCTTTTTTAACCTAAAATACCAAAGATGATTTCCTTGTCTCCTTCCACTGAATGATGGCCTCCTTTATGTTAATACTGGATAGGAGTCCTAAGTCAGAACAATGCAATTCACAGTCTTCCCTGATGTAGTAGGCACTGACTTCTTTTTGCTCTTCTAGCTTTTTCCCATTTGGAGAAGGAACCCTTGGCCACTCCTTGTGAGTCCCTATCATGAGACTTGTCCTCCCAGACAGCTTTCAAAAACTGATGCTTTAAGTTCCATGTGAGCCTTATGGACCTTGCTATGAGGCGTTCTCTGTTGAGAATGAAGCTAAGTGGAGGTGAGCAGTGCTAGGAGATGGAGATAGAGTAGTTGGTGTCCTGAAGGCATATTATTTGAGCTTCTGGATCTTGCCATGCTTGCAGCTGATCATCTCTTGGGTAAAAAATATTTTTAAAATCTCCATTTTACTTAATTTTCAAGTTAGGATTCTCTCACTTGCAACTGAAGCTGTTCTGACCAATACATCCATTCTCTGCAAAATTTGTGCATATTGAACATGAAGAAGGCATCTTATTCTTCTTTGGGAGCTTAGCCCTCTCTACCTTTGTAGAAGGGAAAATTCAGTTGCCATCCTCTGAGAAATATGCTACCAGAAGTCACCACCACCTGAATTTCTGTTCATACGAAATGGAAGACAGGGCCCAAGATAGCAAAGTCTCCAGGTGGATGGATAGAGCTTTTGGAATCAACCTGTGAGCAGACATCTCCAGCACTATACCTCTGTCCTAAAAATGATGCTACCGTGACACTACCTATTATTTATCTCTCTTTACATACTAAGGACTATTTTCTTTAAAAAATGTAGGATCATGTACAAATATGAATTGATATCTTTTCCTCCTCTTATCCTCACTTCTCACCTCTGTACCTTGAGAAAAAGAAGACTTTACCAAAGTGCTTCAATGTCATTCTTTTTAGACCTGTGGCTTTCTTCCCTTAAATCAGCCTCTGGGGTAAAAGCACCCTCTGTTATCTTAGAACAATGGTTGTAACTGACATTTAAACAAATTGATTTTTTAAAAATTATTTCAGAAGGTAATTTAAAGACGACCATGGCACTTGTTAAAATATCCTTACCATACATGTTATATAGCTAGAAAAATAGTCTGAAATTTTTGTTGAAATATTGATTACAAATTCATGCTACATTACTATTAAGAGTTACCTGCACTTTTAAGATTTTGTTATTTAGTGATGCCTCTCTTGATTTGCCGAGGAGAATTCAAATGCAGCTTTTATTAACTTCATTTACATAGTAATAAAGAACAGCAGCAACACAGATAGTTTGGAGAGATAAAGCCCTTGGAACTGGGAGATAATAGGTCTCTAACTGCTAAGAAGGCCAAGACAAAATGGGGCAATTCATTTTCTAAACCTAGGGGATTTATTTCTGACACTATGCTGGAAGGGTAACTATTATTTTTTATTATGCCTTTTGATAAATGATGGGGATGTTAGTTTTTTGGTTGATAATCAAGAGGACCCTGAGAGATAGTTGCTTTTTGTGTAATTTTCAAATAGCAAATTCTGAATTGGCTCAGAAAATTGACTTGTCTCTGCTTCTGCTCTTATCAGATGATATTATTCTTGTCATGCTTTTTTTCTCACTGAAAGGAGTTCTACCTTAGTTGCTAAATGAGAAGCCTTAATCATCATCATCATAGTACATGCTTAACTTGTTCTATGTACCAGACACTATCCAAGTCAATTATGTATATAAACCTATTTAATCCCCACAAATCCCCAATGAAATAGGTACCATCATTATCTCTTTGGTTGTTGTTCGGTCGCTCAGTGGTGTCTGACTCTTTGCCACCCCATGGACTGCAGGACCCCAGGCTCCCCTGTCCTTTACCATCTCCCAGAGTTTGCTCAAACACAAGTGCATTGAGTCGATGATGCCATCCAACCATCTCGTCCTCTGTCATCCCCTTCTCCTCCTGCCTTTAGTCTTTCGCAGCATCAGGGTATTTTCTAATGTGTCAGCTCTTCGCATCCTGTGGCCCAAAGTATTGGAGCTTCAGCATCAGTCCTTCTAGTGAATATTAAGGATTGATTTCCTTTAGGATTGACTGGTTTGATCTCCTTGCAGTCCAAGGGACTCTCAAGAGTCTTCTCCAACATGACAGTTCAAAAGCATCAATTCTTTGGTGTGGCCTTCTTTATGATCCAACTCTCACATCCATACAGGACTACTGGAAAAACCATGGTTTTGACTATACAGACCTTTGTCAGCAAAGTAGTGTCCCTGCCTTTTAATATGTTGTGTAGGTTGGTCATAACTTTTCTTCCAAGGGGGGAGTGACTTTTACTATCATGGCTGAAGTCACCACCTGCAGTGATTGTGGAGCCCAAGAAAATAAAAATCTGTCACAATAGATGATAAAACTCGTCACAAAGAAGTTAAATAATTTGCTCACAGTCACTCAGCTATTTAGTGAAAGGTCTAAGATTTGATCTAAATCTAACTGCAAAGTCTGTGCTCCTAAGTGTTTGGCTATGCTACCCAAATCCTATACTATGTGCATGGTCCATGGCCTGCTATGCTCTGGAAGCTCACAGTTTTCAGGCACAAATTAAATAAAATTGTATAGGCTGCTACCTTGGAGCCTTTGAAACTCTGTGAATTGGCTATCATCAGTACCATGAGTTGCAAGTCCCTTTTGTTTGGCAGGGGGAAAGGAGGATACCTGAGTTCCTCTTTTCACAAGTACCAAACTCCAAGAATATCATTTCACCAGGTATTCGCCTATCATGCGTCTGCCACACAAATCATCACCCACGTTGGATCTTGGACCAGAGCCAAGGCACACTGCCCAGGAAGGAGGCTGGGCTGACACCTCCAGCTGGCAGTCTCCTCCGCTGAACCCATGTGGGTGCAGATTTCCCTCTTAGTCTTGACCAAGGGAAAGGAATGAGAGTTGTCACTTCTAGCTCATTCTAGAAAGAGTGCCCTTTTCTTCTTAGCACTTATTGCCCATTTCCTTAGGTAGTTTATTTTAGGAGTGTAGGTAAACAGGGACCTTGTCACCTTTTTTGGGGACAAAATAAAAAAAAGATAGAGACAGAGTGAGGTGAGTGACTTCCTCAAAGCCATCCTCCTTTCTGGTAATTGGCAAAGCTCTCACTACCAGCCAGGCTAACATTGCAAGGTCCTGCTGTAAAAGGATGGATGTTCCTCCTGGTCCCACACTGCCCTCACTCAGAAATATGGCTGAATATTTGTCTGGGGGAGTCCTGCTCTAAGTTTCTGAGACATCCCACTTTCCTCCAAGGGGGCGCCCCTCATGGTTCCTATTGTGTTGTTACTGGAATATTCTAACCTCTAGGGCTGCTTGTGGTTGACCCCTTTAAAAGATAATTGCTGGAAGAAATAAATGGTACCAAAGGAAAGTAAATGGTACCTCCCAAAGCCTCCCCTTCCCCGCCGAGGGAAGAAATATACACCCAGAAGTTGAAGCCAAGTCCTTGAGCTCCAGACTCCCTTCCTGGGGTTTGTTGGCCTTCTGGAGGAGGACAATCCAATGTAACTGCTTTAGCTCAACACTACCGCACCAGCCACATGGGAATTCTGAGACAATAAGGGAGAAACTGGGAGGGAAGGTGAAAGCGAGAAAGAGAGAGAACTGATTGACCCAAGTTGGATACTAATCCAAGAGGGAGGAAGAAAGGAACGGGAAGTACATTATATGATAACCACAGGAGCTTTTCCCTGATTGCTCTTTCCATCCCCTCTTGTAGCAGTGCTCATTTTGCCTTGACTTTCTTCTCTTTTGGCGTAAGTTTCTTTTGGGTGAAGCAAATGAAGAGGAAAGAGTGAAATGTCTCCTTCAAGTCTGTGAGAGATGTCTTTATGCACAAAGATGAGTTTTCCCATGGGCATGGACATGAGGCTGTGTGCCTAGAGGGTAAAGTTCCTTTGGAGCTAACAAAAAGGTTAAAATGTCTCTTGCCTTTGGGTCTTCATTTGCCTCATTGCTTTGCCAAGTCTGGCTCTTAGCCTCTCTCATCACCCTGTGGATACTATGGGGAGTTAGCTTAGGAGTCAGAAGATGTCCTTTGTCTCTTCCTTTTAGCGTTAAAATACCCAGAAGAAATGCTGGAACAGGCTAATTAGCCCAATGCCCCGGAGTCTGTGTTGGATTTGAGGGCCAAACCTTATGGTATATTTCTCTTGTCTGGTGTCTTGCCATGCTCTTCTGAGGGAACTAGTGAGCATGGTTGTGGCTACCATAGGAAGTCATAGGGATTTGTTATTTTGGCCATCTGTATTTCTCTTCGTGGCTAACAACAAGCATGTTGCTAATAGTGAAAGATTCATAGAGGAACTAGGTGCAATGGTGATGGAGTGAAGATTTTTATTCTTTAATTCTTTGGACTGCAAGCAAATCAAACCAATCAATCATAAAGGAAAACAGCCCTGAATATTCATTGGAAGAACTGTTGCTGAAGCGGAGGCTCAAATAAATACTTCGCCACCTGTTGGACAGCTGACTTGTTGGAAAAGACCCTGATGCTGATAAAGACTGAAGGCAAAAGGAGAAAGGGGCAGCAGAGGATGAGATGGTTAGATAGCATCATCAACTCAATGGATGTGAGTCTTAGCAAGCTCTGGGAGACAGTGAAAGACAGGGGAGCCTGGTGTGCTGCAGTCCATGGGATCTCAAAGAGTCAAACACAATTTAGTGACTGAACAACAGCAACAAATGTCCCAAAGACTTCTTCTAAAGTCATAGCTATTCAGTAACATTTTGAGGGGTACATTTCATAGTATAAGAAGAAAGTTTAATTGAAATACAGTCCCGTCAGCCAAAAGGAATATAAAAATAGAAGCTTCTGTTTCCTGTTTTAAAAGCAACAAAATGTTGTTGTATGGATGGTGTACATGAGCATTTTCTGAGAGCAAAACTGTGGATCATATTTATGGTGTGATTTTCTCAAATAAGATGAAAGCATTTTAAAGCACGTACCCCCACCCCCAAATCCACAGTTACTTACTTGTTCTCATTTGTGGGATCATATCGGGGAAATGGATCATGGTCGTTATCGTTAAAATCATAGCTGGCCTCTGGATCCTAAAGAGAAGGCAAAAACAACACTGTGGCATCAAAAGGAAAAAAAAGCAGTGCCTTCCAAACCTTCAGTTCGGTTCAGTTCAGTCGCTCAGTCGTGTCCGACTCTTTGTGACCCCATGGACTGCAGCACTCCAGGCCTCCCCGTCCATCACCAACTCCTGGAGTCCACCCAAACCCATGTCCATCGAGTCAGTGATGCCATCCAACCATCTCATCCTCTGCTGTCCCCTTCTCCTCCTGCCCTCAATCTTTCCCAGCATCACGGTCTTTTCCAATGAGTCGGCTCTTCCCATCAGGTGGCCAAAGTATTGGAGTTTCAGCTTCAACATCAGTCCTTGTACCCCTGTCCTATTCCCATCCTGGCTGATGGCTTGAGAGTCTGCAGTTTAGAGTTTCTGGCCCCATTGCTGATCATTCATCAGAGCCGGAAACCAGGCAGAGATGATGTGCACAGAGAAGTGAGCCAACAATTCTCAGTGAAGGTTTCCAAACCTAGAGAATCTCATAGGCTGTTAGAACAGGAGGGGTCAGAGTTTACTTAGTTCAACCATGTCATTTTCCAAATGAGAAAATTGATGTCTACAGAAGTGGAATGGTTTGACTGGGCTGTAGGGCTAGTTAGTAACACTTTGACACTCATCTTTCCTAAGGATACGGGGGCAAAGAGCTGGCTGTGGGGTGGGGCTCAGGTCTACAGTGAGCTCCTTCAGCCACCCCAGTACACTAAATAGACTTCAAACAGACTGCTCTTCTCTGTATTTCTCTGCCGCCGATGCTTAGTCACTCAGTCGTGTCCGACTCTTTGTGACCCCATGGACTGTAGCCTGCCAGGCTCTTCTGTCCTTGGGATTCTCCAGGCAAGAATACTGGAGTGGATTGCCATTCCCTTCTCCAACAAAGAAGCTTGAGTGCTGAAGAATTGATGCTCTTGAATTGTGGTGCTGGAGACGACTCCTAAGAGTCCCTTGGACTGCAAGGAGATCCAACCACCTTTTAATAATTGTGTCACCACTCCTGCTGTTCTTTATGTTTCTCTGTCTTAATAATTGCTAATCTTTTTCATCTCTTCTTTTCCACCCCATTTTCTTTGCTCTTTAGCTTTGGAACATTGGTTGAGTAGAAAGGCTGGGATAAAGACAGGGGGTAGTATTCAAGATAAAACACGGATCTTTAAATCAAGACCTGAAATATTTTTAATTCATTAGTTTGCCTGTGCTGGGTCTTAAGTGTGGCTCATTGGATCTTCGATCTCTGTTGTGGCATGTAAGATCTTTTAACTGTGGCCTGTGGAATATTCAGCTGTAGCATGCATGCTCTTAGTTGTGGCATGTGGGATCTATTAATAGTTCCTTGACTAGGGATCGAACCCAGGACCCTTGCTTTGGGTGCATGGAGTCTTATCCACTGGACCATCAGGGAAGTCCCCTAAAGACCTAAAATATTATGGAGAACTTCATAAACAAGTAAATAATTTACTTACTTCCCATTTTTGGTAAACTTTTCTGTTTGTCATTTTTGCACTATCAAGGACATGCTTTGATTTACATGGATGGAGTCACATTCATATAACTTCACAATGTGAGAGCTATTGACCCACAGGGAATGTGAGGAGGATGACTGTGAAAATGATCTCAGATGTGAGGCTTGATCTGATTGCTTTCATGTCCCCCAGTACTGAGTGGCATAGAATTTGAATGGCTTTTTAATAATCTAGCCAGTGTAAGTGCCTCTTCCAACCCCAACACACATAACTTTTGTACAGTCCTCAGCTTCATTGAATTCTTTCAATGTCTAGTGATACAAAAAAAAAGAAATAAAGAAAGAAAGAAATTTATGTGCACTGGCAGAGGGGTGAGGGAAGTAGCCAAACTTGGCTCATCAACCCCAGGGCTCACTCAGAGCATCTCCTGCTTGAGGGAAGTGAAGCCCTAATTGTATGTCTGTATAGACAGCACCCTAAGCTGCAGGAATAGGAGGGCTTAGACTCACATAGTTGGCATAGATGTCTGTGTGATTCCACTCCAAGCCATCATCCAGTACAGTGATAACAACACCTTTGCCTGTGATGCCTTTTTGCCAAACAGGTATCACATGGAGATCCAGCTTGGGCAGGGTTGCAGTCATCCTTGTATCTTGCTGGTAAAAAAGAACAAAGAAGTGTTGGTAAAATCATAATTTGCTTGCTGCACAATGAGAACTGAAGCTCCAGTCTTGAGACCCATCTTTCTTTTTCCTGGGGTCATTCTATTCTTTAGAAGCAGGCAATTAGGTGAAATAAAAGACAAAGTTGAGGGGAGGACCAAGTGAATCATCATAGTTCTGCTCTTTTTCCAGTTGTTCCAATGGAAAATCACTCGAAAAGATGAATCACCCTGTGCCCCTTGTCTCTGAGCTGTGTGGCTTTGAAGAAGTTTATCCCTAAGTTGCTTTCATTTATAATTACATGCTCAAGCTTTTCATCTACCGAAGCTTTATTTGCTGCCCCAAGTTTCCATCGCCCCCAAATCCTAAACCTCTACTGCCATACTGAACGTACTTTATTTTGTCTGGTTCAGTTACTCGTGGACATTTTTTTTTAATAACTTTTCTAAAAGAAAATCAGAACTTGGATACCCACAAGGCTGTGGTATTACCAGGACTTGGAATTGAACTGCCTGTTTCCAAGTATGAGTGATTTAGAGAGTCAGTGTCTGTGAGAGGTGAATTAGGATTTTTTTTTTCAGGTAACTTTTCTGAGAGTTACAGTATGTGGGGCTGTAGGGAAGAGAAATTGGACAGCAAAGGAATACAGATATGAGGACATCCCCAAGCATTCAAGAGAGATGTATTAGAAGAGAGCCGGGCTTTTAGCTGAATGGATCAACAGGAAACTTACAAATGACAACAATCAAAAGTATCAATGAATGCATTGCCCCCTGACTGATGCCCATCAGAAAGAGGAGGAGCAAAACCAGAATTTTCTAGGCCAACATGAAGCTGACTCCCAGGAGGCTGGAACTGCACACAGATTGTTGGCCAAAGCCAGAGAAGGACTCTATGTCAGTGAGAGGAACAATCGGAGTCTGGCTGTTAAGAGTATGGCCTCTGGAGATATGAACTATGGCTCCACCATAAGAATCATGTGATTCTTGCCAATATCTCTGTTTCTTCATCTGTTAAAAGGGAATACTTATTATATGAACAACACAATGTTGCATGAGAACTGAATGAGTTAATTCATGTCAAACAGGATAGTATTAATATGTGGCACATGGTAGATGCACAAGTGTTAATGAGTATCTTCTGCAGTGAGCAAGTATCGCTTAGGTTAGGAGAGTTTCAAGAAGAATTGATCTTTCCCATCCATTCTGCAACAAGGATATCTAGGCCTCAGCTTATGGTCCTCATGAAATTTTATCTTTTACAATATTCTCAACAATAAGCACTGTGTTACTACAGTAGAGGCTTAATGTGAAAACAGAAGGGGGAGCACCCTGCAGGCAGGCAGGCAGGAGCATGTATAGTTTCTCCACTCACAGCCCACATTCCAGTAAGGATTTGGTAACTGTCTTAAAGGTAGACTAAGTGTGTGTTAGTTGCTCAGTCATGTCCAACTCTCTGCGACCCCATGGACTGCAGCTTGCCAGGCTCCTCTGTCCGTGGGATTCTCCAGGCAAAAATACTGGAGTGGGTTGCCATTTCCTTCTCCAGGGGATCTTCCCGACCCAGGGACCCAGGGATCATTGCAGGAGATTCTTTACTGTCTGAGCCGCCAGGGAAGCCCCTTAAAGGCAGAACGGGTTTGCAAGTCCAGACCTTCACAGATAGATGCCTTTTGTCTTTCCTCATGTTCCTTCCTTTAGCCTAGTTCAGAGATCCTCACCTGGGAGCATGCAAGAATTGTCATTCAGAGCTGTATATACTGAATCACGTTCACTGTCCTCTTTGGGTGATTTAAAGGGTTCTCAGGAGTAACTTTGAGCAGGTCTGATTTTTGCCATGAATACTGTTTTTGCAACCCTACCTTGCAAGACCCAATTCTTTGGTACTTATTCCAGATAAACGTAAGGAGACTTCCTCTTGTAGAGGCTAAAGATCTGTGTTTTCAGATGTTCTCACACAGCCAAACAGAAGATCCAGATCATGGGAGGTCCCCTTCACCCTGATCTCCAGATAAGACAGCCCTGAACTGAATTATCTGTTACTTAGAAATATCTATTGTTCAGAGACAACAAGTAACCCAGGGCCTACACAGTCCTCATGCAGGTACTTACCAAGTACCACTGCTGATTCCACATCGGATCATTGAAGAGATCCAGAGCTGAGTCTCTTAGGATGGAACGCTTACTTCTCTCTTTTTCATACTGTTGTTCTGCCCATATCACCTACCAGGAGTTTTATAGCAAGAAAATCAACAGTTAAACAGCCACCTCTGCCGTACTCATCTTCCCTCCAACTAGCTCTAGGATTCTCTCCATCAGTGTTTTCACTTGACTGCCGATCACACTGGCAGCTCAGTGAGAATAAGGGGTTACCCACTGGGGAGATGACCATTTCCTCTATTACAGTAAAGTGTGCCTTTACAAGGAGGAGAAGTAGTCAGTGAAGTGATGGTTCCCTCAAATTATTGACACTGTGATTCCAGTGGAAGTAAAAGTTCAGCCTGCTTTCATCAGCAAATGGACCATAATGCCCATTTTTATATTGAGGTTCCAAGGTTCCGTGGCTGAAAATTTGACCATTTGCACAGAATGAGTCAACAGGCTAAGAGATCTCAGAGACTGCTGTTATGTTGCTCTTACAGCTTAATTTCTCTTTCTTTATTCACAAAAATAGAAATTGCAGATGTGATAAAAGGTGGAAAAGGTGCTGCGTCTTTGCAGATTCAAAATTCTGGCTCCCCTGTGCCTCAACCTTCTGCTTAAGAATATTTAATATGAGAAACAGATCTGGGATGATGGATGAGCCCTACTGACCATGCACACTTTTCATTAATTTCATTTCATGTATTATGCAAGGAGGTCTGACAATACAAAAATTACCTTTCCAACATTTATAGCGTAATCCTATTATACTTGAGGCCCCAAGAGGTGAGGGGCTGCCTTGTGGTTATATTCATTATGAGATACTACCATGCTCTGATTCTGCTGAGCAACGTGACTGTTTGCTACCCAAAACATATCCTCTCTTTCGTACACTTGATGATAGTCCAGTGTGTGATAGGATATTGCTAATGTGAGAACACTAATGAGTCAGATCCAAAAATAAAAACTGAAAAATAATTTGCAACTAAAGGATAAAACCATCCAGCAAGACCATCCTGAATTTCCAATTAGAAAACATACTGCAAACCTATTATAAACATTGGGAGGGACTTGAGGGTTGGAAATTAGTCACTATAATTTATTTTTAAAGTGCCTGTATTTTCAAGCTTAATTGTTTTGGCTTAAAATACCTCAATGCTTTGAATATACTGCCTGCCATCTGAATTGGTCTTTGGAAGCTGGCTGCTAGGGAACAAGTACTAATCTTTGAGGGAGAGAGTCACTTACAGTTAGAGATTTCATTAACAGACTTACAGATAGCATATTGGTGCACTTCAGAGTGCTAATTTGGAAGAATATTATCCCTATCAAAAAAAAGAGCAATAAAATGAAAATCAAGAGCATTTTAAAAAAAGTGGAATCAAAGAAGAGGCACTCTGGCATCTGATGAGGTAAACAACCAATTGGTAGAAACAGAGTTATGATTAATGTCATTAACTCTGAATCCCATATTAGTCTCTGTAAGAGCAGACCAAATGGAACAGAGCAAATTGGTAGCATCCTTCTATTGTATATATAGTAAGTATCATGTACTTAATGGTAAATAATCCTTTTGGGATTTAATGCCCTTTGAAAAGGGCATTAAAAAGCATCTAGTCCAACCTTCCACTTCAAGCTTCAATGGGTTCTAGAATTTTTCCTGAAATTAAATTATTCTGGGGATAACTTTCATAGGATTATATAGACTCTTTTCTAATGAATTTATGCTGGAGAGTAAATTCTTAGCTCTTCTTCATTATGTTTTGAGATTTCTCCCCCAAGTCAATTCCTAAGGAATTACAAATCAATTATCTAAAGAATAGAACTGGGCCATCTGTTCATTTTAGTGAGATACTTTGAATAATACCAGTTAGATCTGCTTTACTCTATCCAGTTTTCTCCTGTGAAGATGAGAAGGAAGGTCAGTGTGACTTCCTTGTACATCAATGTCAGGCATGCATTTAGGCAGACAAGGAAATATTTCTCTTGTTTTTTTGCCCAAAGACTAAGCCTAGCTAGAGTCCTGGAAGTCGTCCTACTTTCAGAGCCCATATACAATTAGCCATCTGCCTTGGAACAGTGAAAGAAAGATTTTATTGGACAAGAAACTTTTAAAATGGTGTTAAGGGCCTTTGCTTAGGTCTGTCACTTCCAGCCATTTACTTGAACAAAAGCCAGCAACGGATGTTTGTGCGCTGCGGGTTGCTGTCCATGGTCCTGATGGAACGTCTTGGTCTCGGTTTGGTTGCTGCTTTCCCGTTGGAACACTGGTAACCCAGGCCCAGTCATTTCCTGCTCTCATAATTTGTCTTCTTTTTCTCCTTCTTTTAAAAATTCTATCAGATGCATAACAAAGTAGCAAATTATTTTACAGCGATTGTGATTTCCATGAACTTTCAACAATTTTATCCCTGTTCTGTCACTTTTACTTTTCTTTATGGGAAGTTGAAAGTGTATGTTTTATCTCTCACAAAGCTTTCATAATTCTTGGGAATGTCCTAGACAACAGAAATCATGCATGCAGATATCAGGCTCCCCAGGATAAATTTTCATCAGTATGGCATATTCTTGAGAAAAGGCAACACTGTGTATATAACAATACTTCAAATTTTTATTTCATATCAGCATTTCTATTGATGTTTATGACCTCAAAAACAGACTTCAAAAAGACCCTGAGGGATGGGATGGGGAGGAAGGTGGGAGGGGGGTTCTGGATGGAGAATACATGTACACCCGTGGCTGATTCATATCAATGTATGGCAAAAACCACTACAATATTGTAATTAGCCTCCCATTAAAATAAAGAAATTAATTTAAAAAACTCAAAAGGTACATTAGATATACATGAAATTGGCCCCACACTTTACCTGTATTCATTCTAGACTTTTCCTGCTCGTACCTAATCTTTGAATATGTATACAAACCAGAATAAAAGGAGATCAAATACTCTGGGTCAGATAATACAATACTTATGGAAACATTTGCCTCCTGAAGACATGGATTTAAAACTCTCTCAGAAACACTAGTTCCTTATATAATCAAACCAGATAGAAACAGCAGAATGTATTTTCATATAACACTGAAATGTTATTAAGAACAGAGTTTCTGTATTATATTTGTTTGGCATCATTACATTGGATATCAAAATGCTTGGTACATAGATAGGCATATAACAAAAGGCTGTTGATTGATTGTATTGTCAAATAGTTCATTAGTGCTGCCACTTGATTCTCAGTATTCATTTTCATGCTCTCAGACTGAATTTGTGAACTGGTATTATATAGTTCACGTGTGTGTGTGTGTATACACACATATAATGTAGTCAACCAATTAGATTCAGTTATTGTTATGTGCATTTATAACCCTATGGAAATGATAAGAAACACTACAGACAAATAATTGTGGAAACAAGAAAAAAGAATAATATTTGCTTTTGTTCTTGTTAGCAAGCACAAAGAAAGCAGATAAGTCAGGTCACTGGCTTGAAGACAAATGCACAACACTTACACGGTCATCATCAGACAATCTCTTAGTGATGTGAAAGGCACTCCTTCGAGACCTCCGAGGATGGTTTCTGTGTTTGAATAAGTAGTGATTTTCAAGTGATCCAATCTATAAAAGAAAAAACTAAAATAAAAATCCTCTTTCCAAAATAAGTGTGTATAGGTCAGAATGAAACCCAGCTAACTTGCAAACAGGCAATTTTTATTAAGTGCATTTCTTGTTCTTGAAGGTAACCTTTTTCTTGATGAGGAAGGCACTGTTAGAAGCCTTCCTTTGCTTCTTAGTCTGTTCAGTGAGATGAGCTTCCCAATATTATCACTTGGGGTCATAGCATTCTTAAAGGCTGATGATGCTTCTGTCTTTTATATTTCAGAGAAACCACATTTTCTTTTCTAGGTGATGTTATTGTGTATCTAGACATTTCTAAAAAATATATTCAGTCTATAAAATGTATCGTGTCAGAATGATAATGTGTAGAAAGCAGGCAAACTCTCTGGTACTATACATGTGTAGTGCCACACTCAGCTAGAACAATTTGTTGTTATAAAATATAGTGATTGAATCCATAGTGATGATTGTTACAAGCTACTAGTAATGACTACTTGACTTTCCAGTAGTTCAAAGCTTTGAGGGAGAAGCCAGCATGCTACATTTAGGAGAGGTATTCCACCTTAGAGTGTGTAAATTTCTCTAGATGACTATCAATACATTTGGTATTGATACAAATGGTCCCTTTAAAGCTAAGTTCATTTTTCTTTTAAGATAATTTCCCTTTATTCAAAATAGTACTTAATTTGAACCTAAATTCTGTAGATGCCCTGTATTTTTTTTTAATTGAGACCAGCAATTGACAATGGGTTATTTCAGAAGAATTACTTTCTTTAAAGTGATGTTTCTCATCACCTAGAGGCTTTTTTAAATAGAGATGCTTAGGTACTCCTCCAAGCCTGAACCTCTGGGAGTGAATCTGCTCTAAGCTTTACGTGGAGTTGGGGACAGAGAATAGGAGCCTTAAGAAAAGATCACCAGTGCTTAGCTCTGTTTCTGCTATCAATGGTTTTGCCTCTTGTCATCCCCTCTCTATCCTAGCTTTATCTTGAGGCCTTAAGAATTTCAAGATGGTGATGCATCTAAGTGTAAACAAAGGAAGAAAAGGAACAGAACCAGGAAAGCACCATTGGTCTCTTATAAGGAATTATTATTTTTAAAACATTTATTAGTAATGTCATTTAACTGGAAATATGTGTATGCAAGTCATATGCAACTCTAGGTAGGTTTTCCCCACTCTTTCCTAAACTTTCCTGTGACCATGCCTTCCTTGAAGATCCTACCAACAGTACTGATTTACTGTTATTTATTTGGTTATTGAGACTTGTGATTTTATTTTATTTTATTTGGGGGGGGCGGATTGTGATTTTAAAAAGCAGTTCCCACAATGAATGGTCTGGGTTTGGATGAATGTCTGAGGCTAATAGGTGAGAAAAGGAAGAGGGAGTTATTTTTTGCTCTCTCCTCTAGTCTCCTTCCAGACAGTTACCAATGCTATTTAGCTTCAGTCCAAAGGATTAAGTTCCCAGGTTTTTTTTTCCCCTTCATAGGACTCACAAGATGTCCATGGTGCCCACAGTACCCACCAGTACAATTCTACCCACTACTCACTCTCTTTTTAGATTCCAAGAATTCCTTGCAATTTCCTGACTTCTAAGTAAGCCACTTTCTTTCTATCTCCATGTTTCCCCACAAGCCATTTCCTATGCCTTGTGTGCCTTCCCCAGTCTCATCATGTTCCCACCTTTGACTCTTCTCACTAAACCCTGTGCAAATGTTTCCTCCTTGGGCTGTCTTCTTTTCCCCCTTCCCAATTCCCTTCCATCTTCAGTCTTTCAGTCAACAAGTATTGAGACTCCAGCAGCAGTTTCTGTTGCTATACCAATTACTTGCAATTGCAATCATTTATTTTAAAACCAGTCTCTAGACTCTTGGTTCCTTGGAGGTTTCTTTTCCTCCTGTTATTCCTTAGCCCTCAACACGGAGCCTAGCACAGAACAAGGACTTGGCAAAAGCAAAACTACTGGTCTGCTACTGGTACACAGAGAAGTTAGAAGTCAATATGGGCATTGACTTTCGTGCTGGGCATTTCAGGCAGTTTGGCTCATAAAGTTGGAGCATGAAGCCTCTGGCAAGGAAAGGCACATTCTCCAGAGGATTTCAATCTATGGAATCGCAACGCCCACACGGATTACTCATCCCTGACTTCAACTGCATCTCTACCACCACCTCTAGAAAAAACGCGCCAAAATGTTTTACAACTCCCTCCTCCCCCATTTCCACGAACAAGTTGCAAGGCAAGAAATAAGGGCTTGATCTGAGCCAAGGGAAAGGAAAGCTTCCAGGAGAACTCACAGCCCCCTACATAATGGCTCGACGCCCGTACCCCCCAGCTATCTATTAACCCAGTCCTCACTTGAACGGGCAACAGTTTCTCCCCGCCCTACCCGCCCCCCCAACACACACAAATGGAAACCCCTGGGAAGCTAAAACACATCTGCCTGAGGAACAAGAAAGAAATCCTTCCCCCACCGTCACTTCGGCAGCCTGGCCCTTCAGGGGAACTGACCGAGCAAAGTTGTGAAGCTCGGACTTTGCAAGTTTCCAGTGAGAGTTCGTCCCATGCCTCTCACCCACCTCATCTACCACTCCGCAACCCCCGAGCCCCGGGTTGTGAATCGAGGCCACTGGCACTCTCCAGAGAGAGCCGAGCCGTGAGCGCAGGCTGCGGCGAACATCTCCAAGCCTACTTGGCCCCTTGCAGCGGGACGTGGATCTGATGCTGCCATATTGAAAAGAAGGAAACAGCCGGCTCCTGACGCAGACCTGCTGAGACCCAGGGGGACAGAGCACACTGCCTCTCACCTGCCCTGGCTCTGGTTGGGACGAGCCTGCATGCATCTCAAGTTGCGTGAACGACAGTGGAGGGATTTTTGTTCCAAACCGCGCGGGAAACGGATTTCAATTCCAGAACGGACAACAGCCAAGACTAAGCTGTACCCAGCTGCAGCGACTGGGTTCTGCCTGGCTGCGCCCAGCCCAAACAATAAATAATGCAAGGCTTCTCCAAGCGCGCCAGAGGCGAGAGCCGGAAAAGCTCCTGCTCTTTGCCACTGGGCTCAGGAGAGTGCAACGTGGGACTCTCACTTGGGAGATGGCGCTCCAGTCCCTCCAGTCCCCTCGGGCCCCAGAAAGTTTCTTGAAAGTGCAAACTCTTACCTGACCCAAAAGGTCATAGCCTAGCTCCTGGGCTATCGCTGAGGCTGCCTCAGGTCCCCCGGGGATCTCCGCCGCCCATTCATTCACAAACTGCTTCTTTGCTTTGACACTGTTCATTGCACACCAAGCGCAAAAAAGAGTGAAAGCAGTAAACTGCAGAGTCCAGGCTCTCCGCTCCATCGCTCTCACGCCGGCTCGCACCCAAGTGGGGAGGGAGGGGAGCGAGGAGCAAGCCAGAGAAGCCAGAAATGAGCACCCCTTCCACTGCGGGGCTCGGGGCTCGGGGCCACTTTCGCTCCGGCTTGCTCTGCGATGAGATAAGAGACGCGCAGGAGACGCTGGGCGGTGGCGAGCGCTCAGTGCAGCGTTTCGGTCTCCCTGCTGAGTGGAGCCCCAGCCCTTCCGAGGAGGAATGGAAATGAGTGTTTACACGTCAAATCTACGAAAGCCATCTCTTGACGTCAGATCTACCTGGACTGAGATCTGGATGGTATTCCCGGCGGGGTGGAGAAGCTGCTAAAATAAGCAGCGAGGGATTAAGAAAAGGAAGAAACACTTGCTGGTATTGGTTAAGTCGACTCCCTTTCTAACTGTAAATTTTGCAGCCGCGAGAAACACCTTCACTTCTCTTTGAGAAGTGCCCCCCATTTGAATATAACTACCAAGAATCAAAGACCTGGAGCGCAGCACACTTTCCTTCCCTTTTGTCCCTTTTGTCCATTTTCTTGATCTTTGCTTGATTATCTCCTGTGTGGGGGAAGGGAGAGAGGAGGATTTTTATAACGACTCTGTGGATATCAGCACCTGCTATGAAGAACAGGGCCTTTCTGTCTTTCAAATGGATCAGAGGCTGGGAAGACAGAGCCCAGAAGGGAAGCCTCTGACCTAATTTGCCTAGGAGAATGAGCACCTCTGGGAAGACAATGTTAAAGCAACATTTTAAAGAACATATTTTTAGCCATTCAAACCACCTTAGTTAACAAGTTTACATCCTTCTCTCCTCTGTTTTTTAACCTCAGTAAAACAATATCTAAAATTCCGTCTCAGATATTGCAGGGCCCAGTACCACCCACTTTACAGTTTTTATCAGAAAAAAATGATTAATCACATTATTTTAAATTTTTATTTATTTTTATCATACAATTAAGAAAAAGTTTCCTTTATTTATTAACAAGGAAGTATATCCAAGTTGTATTGTGTTGATTCAGAGAGAGGAAGAGTAGGCTTCATTAATTCTGAAATTTCCATTCTTCCTTCAGGAGACCATTTCACTTTGGTGTTGAACTGAAACTGTGCCATTACTTTCCCGTAAGAGGCACAGTTTCTTTTGGTGGAAGAGTGTTTCCTTATGGAAAGAGAATAAGAAGATGTCTAAATGGTCCTCTATCCCAGAAAAGGGAAGTGGGTACAGTGTACTGTGGCTGAACCTTTTCTGATCCTGAGACGTTGAGCCTGGTGGTAAATGCTAGGGTCTCTCTGCATTCAGCACCAAGGAGTGGACAGCGCCACCAGCACGGGTTGCCAGCGTGAGCTCCGCTTCTGAGTTCCAAGAATCGAACTATTTCCTTTTGACTGGTGCCATCCCCCTCTTTAAAAAGGAAAGAAACAGGAACTTGACCACAAAGGAGAAGTGTGGTTATGTCATGATCGTGACTAATTGCATTGGAATTCTCGGGAACACAATGTACTCAGCCCCAAAATAAAATTGCAGGGGATTCAAAGTCTTGCCCGATAAAGGTTTTTTTCTTTTTTGTTTTTCTTTTTAAAGCTCCCAACCGCTGGGGGGCGCAGCCTATTCTAGAGAAAAGAGAAAAGGGATGAGTGGGAGAAAGCATATGCGCTTGTGGAGAAAGGAAGCAAGAGATTACCTCTTGACAGAAAGCGAATGAAATGGAGGCTTGGTGGAAGATAAGGCTAGTACTGATTTTTCATTTGCCTCCGTGTTTGCAGAAATGTGGAGGAGATCAATAATTTCTTTAAACATAAAGCTTCTTAATGAGAACAAATGCCAATGTTAGTAAACCATGTGATGCAGTTAAGTCTATTACAATAATGTAACTCTCACATGAGGTGCTGTAGAATGGACAGAATGATAGTTTTTCTGTTGGCACTGTAAATTCACATGTGTGAGTATTGATGGCTAGGTGAGCTGTCTTTTCGTATCTCAGCTGAGTTGTGGACTCAAGCTCTCTAGGGTATTTCATTCTTATAACAGACAGATGCTAACTGTGTGCTAGCAAAACAAGAGAAACTTGTTGCAAATGTTTAATAATGGTAGGAATGGTTAGAGCAGGAACGTGTCTGCCCTTATTGTTCTTCAAGTAAATCAGTTGGCAGTTCAAATAAATCATTGAGGCCAGTGTCTCATTAATGAATCATTTATCTTAAATGGAGCACCCTAAACACCTGGAATAAACATTCAGTTGATATACTTAAAAGTGCAAACTAAATTCTCACAGTAGAAAGATAATATCCCCATCCAAAAATATATATATCAGTAATTTATTTTGAAATTCTATGAATTTTATCTGTTGGACCTTAATTGCCACAGTTTTTGGGATGCAGGAGGAATGAATGTTTGCCAAGGCTAGAGGTGCAAATATACATGTAGGAGTCATCTTAAATTTGTCATATCAAGAGCTAATCCTGTCCTGCTATGTAGATCATAGTAATAACCTCCAGGCCCATCACTGTCATATTTTGTATCATAAATTAGAAATCCCAATTATCACCCTTAAGTTGGTTTTAATAGCATTGATTCATCTGATTAATTTATATAGGAAACAGGATAATTCAGAAACTGCAAAGTACTGTTTCTATTATGAATTATCATGTAAGTCTCATGCCTTTCATGACTTCTCCCAACTGCCCAGTGCTACAGTTAATCATTTATTAGGTTTTCTTGGAGGGTAGTGAGGTATTATGAACAGGAGGTAAAGGATGTTCAGAGATCTGTAGATTACCATATCTCTTTAGTATTGGAAAATAAAAACTTCAAAACTTTTCTTACAGTGAAATAAAGTAGGTATACTAAAGTGTATAAAATCATGTACCCAATGATTTATCACAAAGTGAACACCATATAACCATTCAGGTCAAGAAAAAGAGTATTACCAGCCCTTCAGAGTAATTTTTCAGTTTTTTTTTTTTTTTTCCAAGAGGCATAGGGGAAGGAGTGAGGAAATAAATTAGGTCTAACATTTTCCAATTGTTATGTAGACTTCATGTTTTCTTTGGGTAATAGTAGCTATATACTAAGACAAGTATATGATTAATTAGTCTGTAATTATACTAGAGATATTTGGTAACAGAACATATTATAGAGGGAAATCTACCTATAGCAGTATTTTTTTTACCAAATAGAAAATTATAATATTTGCATGACACACAGGGTAAGCTGGAAGACATTTGGGAATATCTGTACAGCACTTACTAAAGCTATTTTTTGCATTTTAAAAAATGTGATACAGTTTTGACAAGAAAATAAAATATAATATTTGGAACAATATATTAAAATTGAATATAGATAACATTAAGAACTGTAAATATACTTCCACCAATGTAACTGTTTAATCTTATGCTTGAAAGCCTAGATCATTTCTAATCAAAACATTACAGTGTCGATCTTTTTGAATTGTTTATGGTCACTGTCAATGAAAAAAAAATTTTGTAGAAGAGAATAAAAATTTTGAAACAACTTTTACAATCATTAAAAATTTGCAACATTTGATCTTAAATATAGCAAGTCTTCCTTTTAGCTCCTTGCTAAATTTACCTTTGGAATTTCAAAAGAAGTTGCTGTAAATTTAGAATTAACCTAAATTTTATAAAGTATTACAAAATCATTTTTCTAAATTGAAAAATACATGCACCTTTTAGAAATGTTACCATGAGCCTACTTTGCCACAAATAGATAAAGGTATAATGCATGGGAAGACAGACATTGGTGCCATTGCCTAAAGATATACCTACCAAAAGCTTCTTATTGTCTAACCTCCCATGGCCAAATTTCGGTGGGGCTGCTATGCTAATTAAGCACTTAGGACAGGAACTTCTCCAACAGATCCATAGTTCCTTCTCCTAAGATAAAAACAGACATGCTTGCAGCAAGTTGCTGAAGGTGATAGCAAGATAGACACCCAGCTTGGCTGAGCTCACTCCCTTGAGGCCAGACCAGTGAGTGCTAGGTGTCACTCACTAATCGTGATTGACTAATTGCTGATCTGGTTGTGTCTTCTCCCCAGGAGCCCAGGATCAGGCTGCTTGCCTGGCTCTCCCAAAGGGTGAAAAGACCAGATACCTTGAGGCACATCTATAATCCTACAGGCTAGGAAGTTCTAATCTACAGGAATGAAGGTAAGAGGACAATGAAGCAAAGTCTGTACACGGAAAGGCTCCAGAGTGGATGGGTAATTATAAAGGACTTAGTGAGGGAACTGGACAAACAGAATATTGAATTTAATACAAAGCTGAATTATTAAAATTGAAGAAATGAGTGCTATTAATTCCCATTATTGAACGTGACTTGTCACTTCTAGTGAAAGTAGATAATTAAACGTAGTCATATACAAATATTCATTGACATTTCTTTTTTTACTTTAGAATGGGTTCCTTAAAAATTTACATTTACTGAGAAAGTTTTGAAATATGGCTTCTTCCATTTCCAGGCAATGCTCCGGCTTCCTCTGTGCTCTCAAACACCACCATTTTCATATGGAAGATACAGAATATAATTGCTTTTGCTGTTCCTGAAGTGTATTTTTTTTTAGTGAAAATTATAGACTGTCAGTATCAAAAAGTAACCTTAACAATTATCTGGTTCCTTGCTTCTCAGAGTGTGGTTCGCATACTACATGATAGGCATCACTTTGGAGCTTTTTAGAAATTTATTTGGTCTATTAGCCCCCACCCCAACACTACTGAATCAGAACTGGTTTTTCTAATGAGTCCATGTTGATTCATATACAATTAAAGTTTGAGAAGCATTGATCTAGTTAACACTTCTTAAATATATGAAACTCCTAAGGAATATTCCTTTTCACCATTGAGCATGACATTAACTATGGGTTTGTCATATATGACCTTTTTTGTGTTGGGATAAGTTTCCTCTGTTCTCACTTTCTGGAGAGCTTTTTATCATGAATGGGTGTTGAATTTTGTCAAAAGCTTTTTGTGCATCT